GGTTTTAAAACATGCTATTAAGAAAAAAGCAGTAATAACAGAAGAAAGAAGCGCCTTTAGAGCATATGCTAACGCCTACACAATTTCAAACATTCATTTAAAAGAGTTGAACGGATTGACTTATTTTAATTATCAATTTGACAAACTTAATGAATACTTGAAAGAGAATAGAGGAATGAAACTTAATGCTACAATAAATATGAAAGTTATGAACTTATTTGATGAGGAGAGAAACGTAACAGTTAGGACAAGGTCGTACACTATTGTAAATGAAGAGGATTTAAGGAATGCTTTGAAAAGAATGAGACCTGATGTTGAAACAAGAATTTTAGATATGGCTTTGTATCAGTCAGGATTAATAATTAGCAATATTAATAATATTCATATCATGTATAATAAATATAATCCGACTAGAGCTGGTAAATATATCGAACTTCCAGAATGGATTAAAAAGAAAAAGGCATGTATCAATATTAAAAATCAAGATGACAAGTGTTTTAAATATTCTATTGAGTGTGGATATTGTAAAATTTGTGATAAAGCACACCCTGAAAAGATGTTTCATTACAAGAAGATAGCAAGTGATTTGATTTTTGATGGTGTGAGTTTTCCTGCTAATAATAATGATATAGATATATTTGAAGAAAATAATAAATCAATATCCATTAATGTTTATGAAATTGATGATAATGAACAAATTGTTATTAGTAGAAAATTGAAAAATAAAGATGCTTCTTGTCATCTTGATTTGTTGAGAGTTGATGAGGAGGATTGCAGTCATTATGTGTATATAAAAAGTTTGAGCAGACTTATTAATAATCAAAAAAATAATCATAATGGTAAGTCCTATTTTTGTAAATATTGTAATCATGGATTTAGAAATGAAGAATTATTAAATAAACATTATGATAGTGGATGCATGGAAGTTGATGGTCAACAAATAGTAATGCCTAAGCCTTATGAGAAAGTTAGTTTTAAGCATCACTTCAAAAAGTTAAGATGTCCTTTTGTTGTATATGCTGATTTTGAATGTTTGACAGAGGAACTGAAAAAACCTGATGAAGATGAAGATAAAAACACTTTTTCTTATCAAGAGCATAAACCATGTGGTTTTATGCTTAATATGGTTAATGCTGTTGATAATACAAATTATGAATTTATGTATCGTGGTAAAGATGCTGTTGATGTGTTTTGTCAAAAACTTAATGAGATTAGGGCAGAAGTAAAGGAGAAGATGGGAGAAAACGAAAAAATAGACATGACTGATGAAGACAAAGAAGATTTTAAACATGCTAAAAACTGCTTTATTTGTGGAGATAAGTTTAGAATGAACTATAAGAATGCCAAGGAAGCAGAGAAATATAGAAAAGTTAGAGACCATTGTCATTTTACAGGTAAGTATAGAGGTTGTGCTCATAATGTTTGCAATCTTAATTTTTGTAATAGATATTTTAAAATTCCTGTATTCTTTCATAACATGAAAAATTATGACGGTCATTTAATTATTCAAAATGCTGATAAATTAAGTAACAACAATAAAATAGGTGTCATCGCTCAGAACAGTGAAAAATTTATTAATATCAGTTTTGAAAGTTTGAGTGTTAAAGACACTTTTGGGTTTTTAACTGCTTCATTAGATAAGTTAGTTTCAATGAGTAAGTATGACAATACAGATGAAGAAGATAAAAGTAAATGGTTATTGCGTGAAAACTGGAAAGATAATTTTAGGTTCAGTAGTAAAAATGATGTGATTAAGAGTGAGAAATGTCTAGATTTATTAACTGATAAAGGCGTTTATCCTTATGACTACATGAATTCATTTGATAAATTTGATGATGAGCAATTACCGAGTAAGGATGATTTTTATAGTCAGTTGAGTGAAGAAGGTATAAGTGTTAACGACTATGAAAGGGCAAAAATTATATGGAAGCATTTCGACATTAAGAATATGGGTGAATACCATGATTTATATTTGAAAACTGATGTATTATTATTGACTGACATTTTCGAAAATTTTAGAGATGTATGTATGAAATATTATGGATTGGACCCTGCTTATTATTATACATTGCCTAACTTTGCTTTTGATGCTATGCTTAAAATGACTGGTGTAGAGATTGATTTAATATATGACCAAGAAATGTATGAAATGATAGAAGCGGGACTTAGAGGCGGGATGTGTATGGTTTCTACTAAAAAAGTTGAAGCAAATAATAAATACATGGGAGAAGAATATGATAAAAATAAAGAAAGTAGTTATATTAACTATTTTGATGCTAATAATTTGTACGGGTTAAGCATGATACAAAAACTGCCATATAAAAATCTAAAATGGGATGATACATTAAAAGAAGAAGACATTATTAATTACAAAAATAATAATATTGGATATATTCTAGAAGTGGATTTAGAATATCCTAAAGAATTACACGATTTACACAATGACTATCCAATGGCACCTGAGGTTATGAATGTTAAAGCCAACATGCTGTCAGATAAACAAATTGAAATTTATGAATTTTTAAATCATAAAAAACCTACGGATGAGAAAACAAATAAATTAATATTGAACTTAAATGATAAAGAAAAATATGTAATCCATATAAGAACCTTACAATTTTATTTGAAGCAAGGGTTAAAACTTAAGAAAATTCATAGAGCAATTAAATTTGAACAAAAAGAAGTTTTAAAACCTTACATTGAGTTTAACACTGAGAAGAGGAAGAATGCTAGAAATGATTTTGAGAAAGATGTTTACAAATTGATGAACAATGCCATATTTGGAAAAACAATGGAGGATAAAAGGAAACATTTAGATTTTGAGGTTGTGAGTGATGAAACTAGATATATGAAGTGTGTAAGTAATCCTAACTTCAAACATAGTCATATCATTAATGAAAATTTGGTTGGAGTTGAAAAGCAAAAAACAAAGTTGAAACTAGACAAACCTATATTTATTGGGATGAGTATTTTAGATTTGAGTAAGCAACACATGTATAAATTTTATTATGACGTTATGAAGCCTAAATATGGAGATAATATTAAAATGGTATATACTGATACTGATAGTTTTGTATTTCATACTAAAACCAATGACATTTATGAAGACCTGAATACAATTAAAAAAGAAATAGATTTTTCAGATTATCCTAAGGAACATAAATGTTATGATGAGAATAACAAGAAAGTATTAGGTAAATTTAAGGATGAATTAAAAAGTAAAATAATAACAGGGTTTATAGCTCTTCGTCCTAAATGCTATGCTTACTCAGTTTATGGTGATGATAAAAAATATAAGAAATGTAAGGGCATAGCAAAAGGCACAGTAAGACGTCAAATGAAATATGAAGAGTTTGAGACGGTTTTAAAAACTAATGAGGTTATACATAAGTCATTTAATAGTATTAGAAGTAAAAACCACAGAATTTTTAGTATAACAACTAAAAAAATTGCTCTTAGTAGTTATGAAAACAAAAAATATTGGATAGATAGTATAAACTCACTTGCTTACGGCCATTATAAGATAAATTCTTTGAAAACGACTTAAAGAAATATTGACTTAATATATTATAATAGAAATGGTTGAATTTACTAAAAAAGAGCAAGAAGAAATTATTAATGACTTTTTGAATAAAATAAAAGTTAATGACATTATCAGTAGTTGTAAATGTAAACTAATAAATGAAAAAACTAGACTAACTAAGTTAAATTTACCTATTCCGATTGTTAAAAACATTTGTGATTTTAATTATGTTGAATGCGAGAAATGTTTTTTATTAAGAAATGCAAAGCAAGTTTTACATAAAAGTAATTTACATTCAACATTGAGACAATGTATTTATGATAAATACAAATTGAAATTTGAAGAAAATACATTTCTAAATAATGACTCATCATTAAGAACATATTGTTTTATAAAGTTAAATACATTTCCTACATATGAAAAAGTGAAAAAATATATACTGCAAGATAACGAAACATATATTTTAAAATTTTATAATGATATTAAATATTACTACGAACAATCATATGAAGTTAGTTATGGTGGCAAAACTGGAACAACAAGACCAATTGAAGAATTTAATAATAAAATGATATTTAAATTTATTGATGAGTATGATTTATCAAATAATAAAATTGAAAATGATTGCAAGGAAACATTTTTAAACTACATAAAACAAAGAAACCAAGAATTGAAAATCATAATTGATAAAATATGTGATTATATTCAGGATGAACAGAAGAACAATATAATAGGTAAATTAATGTATGGTGATGTGATAAATGATATTAAAAGTGTTTTAGGAAACTGGAGCATAGGATTTTGCATTTATGATTTTGCTGATAGAAAATATCCATTTAAAAATAATAAACAGAACTTTAAACAAATACCAAAGATTACAAAGGAATATTTAAATACTAATGACTTTGATTAAAACCATACTATGATTATCACATGTAAGCTATTATATGTTATAATTGTAATATATTTATCGTTTGTAAAGATTGAATTATTATATTTTCCTAATTTGCTTATCTCTTTCAAAGTGCGTTGTTTAGACTTGGCATGCTTCTTTAATTTTTTCGTGCTTTGACTGTTTGTTTTTGTTTTGTTTGATGCTCTTGTGATATTTTTTGTTGGTATGTTGCTTTGTTTTTTGTTGATGTGTGTTTTTGAGTTGAGTGTCTTTGATGATTTAGAGTGTTGCTGTTTTGTTGGTATGCTTGTTTGAATTATTTAATGTTGCATGCTGTGATTAAATATTTTTGTTGTTGGTTGTGATTATTTATTTTGTTTGCTTGTTGTTCTGGATTTTGTTTTCTGTTTGTTGTGTTGCTGTTGGAGAAAAAATAGTAGAAAGAATAATTCTTTGAATTCTCCTTTTACTATTTTTTTGGGGGGGGGTCCGATGGTCAACCATTTTAACTTGTGGCTTCCCTTTTGACCAGCCTTTCAAAGGAGTGTCCTGATTTTCGGACACGCCATGAATCATCCACGCCTCCAGGGACACCGCAAACTTTCCGCGGCCGAGGTCCACGAAGGGAAAGAGGGGCTGGTCCGGAAGGGGTCCTGCCATCTGATCGCCCGAAAGGTTCTGGGAGATACGTGCTTGCTCTCCGACCCCCAGAAGACCAACTTGCCCCGTGCCAGACAGATTGGTTGATAGGATCCCAGACATACGTGGTTGTGATTAGGCATATTCGGCACCTTGCCGGTTGATGTCTCGCGGTCTATCCTCTTTGGCGTGAACAACTGCATGTTCGCCCCTGGCTGCTTTGCAGAATGTCCTTAGAAACCCTACCTCAAGCGGCCAAAAGCCAAGCGCAGCGGGCGAAACTCCTTTTTCCGGAAGGTTGCGCACCTCTCTTTGCTGGAGGCAGATTTGGCATTGCCTGTTGCTCCAGTGTGATGGTCACAGCAGAGTTGTCATCAACACCCTTCTAATAGAGTTGTCATCAACATCCTTCTAATGCCACCTAACAACGACTGGTGGCAAACATAACACCACAAAGCTCAATCCATTGTCAATTGTGGCAATCCCCACCAGTCTCAAGTACAACCAAACCATATTGCACCCGTCCAAAACAACCACCGCGCAATCCTTCTGTTCGTTTCCAAGCTCTGCTATCAATGCCTTGGGCCTTTCCGCAGGGTGCTGGGAACGCCTCCCGGCTCCTCTCTTGCGAACCGTTTTCTACGGCTTCCGAACGCACCCAACAGGGCGCCGAAACCACCCACCGGCCAGTGCCTCTCCATGGCAAGGTGCTCCGACACCACAGCCCACCAACCTGGGCCTGTTCTCTCAGAAAGCGGCCAGACATGACACATCATGACACCCGCTCGTATCAACACGCCAAACCAGAAAAACAAAACCTCTCATCGCGTGTCGAGTTCCCCAGGCTCCCGCCCGGAGCCCTTGCCACGTACCCCAAAGGCGCAAAGCTGCGCTCTCTGGGCGTTGGGCGGGTCACTGGGTGAAGGTGTCGTCGGGGGCCCCACCGCCGATGAGCTCCATCACCTCGCCGGCCCAGATCCAGGCCACCTCGTCGCGTGTGGCGTGCGTGGTCCCGGAATGGGAAGGACAGAAGCGGGTGAGAAACAAGGAAAAGCAAGGAACAAAAACGTGCGAGCCTTTGAAGAAGAAAGTGGAGGCACTTAGGGGAAGCGACAAAGGGGATTCAGAGCCAGGCGCCATTCCGCCACCCCCACCACCCCACACCACCCAAACCACCTCTCTTTCCAACCACCCCAACCTCCCAACCTCCCAGCCTCCCAACTTCCCAACCGGCCACCCGGCCTCCTTTCGCCGGGTCAGCAGCCGCAGCGGCAGGCGCACGCCCTCCTTCACCCCGGACCCGTACTCCGCCTCCATGAGGTCGTCCGCCGCCTTTCGCAGCTCCACAGGGTCGCTGTTCAGCGCCTTCCGGAACTCCTGCGCTCAGCGGCGAGTCAGCATCAAGACACCTTGCAGAAAAAGGGGGGCAGTATTTGAAATGAGGATCCAACACAACCAATCTCAAGAAGTCTATCCAGTAACCATGCAAGTACAGTATCGCAAGGGATCACTTATTGCCGCGTTTGTGTATGACTGGGACTCTCCCCCTACCACTCTTGAAATACATTCAGTCAAATGTGCCAGGTGAGCGTGCCTCCAAAATTGGAAAGCCAAGCATGGGCCCAACAGCCCCCTCGACCCCTCAGCCATGCACCGGTCACCCTAAGCTCCTCCTCCTTCTCTCTCTGCTCCTTGTGCACCTCCCGCGCCCTGGCCAGCATCTCTTCCCGCTCCTGCAGGGCCGGCCAAGCGTCGCTATTGTTTTTTCTGCGGTGCAAAAGCAATTCATCTGGGGCATGGGTGAGGTTGGTTTGCACCCAGTCTAGACCCCTCGTTCGCAGTATGACGAGTGTCGACTGTTGCGCATACGTCCAACAAAGCAGTTGGATCCACCTAGCCGGACAGTTTAGACGGAAGGCCAGATTGACTCGACTCGCCAACCAGCAAGTATCGTGTTTAAACCAGCTCCTTTTGTTTTCCGTTCAAAGGGGCCGTCTCAACCGCCCCCTCCGACCGCTTGACCCAAGCGTTCCAATGTCCCCCCGGGCTCCTGGCGCTCCTTCTCCTCCCGCACGGCCCTCTCCGCGGCCTGGCGCTCCGCCTCCTCCGCGGCCTTCTTGGCCTCCTCGGGCCGGCATGGGGCGGTGGGTCACATCCGGAGGACCGTGATCTGAGGTCGGTTCGCCTTTGAGGAAACGATGGCTCCTTTTGGGGGGGTGGTTCTCCGACAAGTAGGGCCGCTGTCCTTCGGTTTAGTCCGAAGTAAATTGGGAATTACAGCTTTATTGGCATTCTGGGATTGCACCCCCGTTTTCAAGGGTCCGAGCTAATCGTGCGTTCAGTTAGCCTCACAAAGAGGGCACGTGTCTCAAAAGTCCAAACTAAACAAACCAACATTGCCAAACCAAACACGCAGCAACACAAGCGAAACCTCATCCGGCTTTACCAAACCAAGTATGCGGGAAACCACCAATTTCGAGACAAACCCAAATCCAAAACCTGTAAGGAGGCCCCCGGCCTGCTCCCTCCTCTTCTTCTCCACTGCCATCTTGGCCTGCCTCTCCACCTCCTCCTGGGTCGTTTTGCCCACTTGTGGCAAAAATCTGAAAATAGGCGAGGTCTCAAAATGGTGCGCTTCTTTCTGGCTTCCCTTCAAACACCAGCCGCATCTTGAGGCACCACAATATTTATCAATATTTCAAAACAATCGTGGCTGCCCACAAAACAAGACTTGCAATTGTGTACAGTAATGGACTGTGCACAAACAAAAATGTTCAGCCGGCCCTGGCTCGCAAACATTTCGAAAGGCCCCAACAAGAGTTCGTGGTGAGATATGTTAACTACCAGCCTGCAGATCTCGGCGAAACTCCTCTATCAGCGCACAAACATTCGATCAAACGTGGCTTGCCTCTTGACCCCAAGTGAACTCAGCACCAAACCTTCACAAACGTGCCACCCAACTGAAAAAGCTAACTCCCCAACTCGCCCTTCCGTCAGCCGAGAAAGGCAACCCGTGGAAGCCTCCCAGATCCATCCGGTCCTGGGCGTGCTTCCGCTTCAGCTCCTTCAGCTTCTCCGGGGGCTTCCAGCCCAAAGGCCGCACGTCCAACACCACCGGCCTCGACTCGCAAGGCGATGGAAACCAAGGCCCGCGAGAAGGAAGTTGGCAACAGGGCCCACCAAAAACCGCCCCCAACCGCCCAACCGTCCCGCAAAACGCCTGCCCTTCAGGGACTGCATCACCCGCTGCTGGTTCTGCGGCAGCAGGGCGAGCCCGTTGATAGCATGCACCTCACCAGTCATCAGCAGGGAGGGGAGGGAAAATGTGTGGAACATCGGCAAACCGCCGCAGGTGGATTGCACGAGTTGAGCATGCCATTCTGTGTCCGTGATGGTTTGGCACGGCACAACGGACAAGATGACTTGGGGAGGCGTTGCTTGGCTGGTCAAGTCAACTTGTCTGGCAAAAAAACAACAACCAGAGGTTGGATGGTCCTTCCATGTCCTTTTCAAATGAAGCATAGACTGCCTGTAATGTTTTTCCTTGCTGATAAGTCTGTTTATCCAGAGAGGTCGCTGTCCCGGTGTCCAGCTGCAGATAATCAGCAGCTCCTCTCAAATGTTCTGGTTTCAGCGGATTCTTTTCCAGCCCTGCAGTCACTAACCATGCCACTGGTCTGCCAGTCGCTATGGAGAAACAAGCCCAATTGCTATTTTAGACTTATATACCTGCTCAAAGTGAGCCACTCTTCCTTCTGCTTTGCCCAGCAACAGGAATTGACACATTTCCCACCACTCAACCTCCAAATCCGCTTTTCCACACAGGGCCACGCCTGTTCCTGAGGGAGAGGGAGGTGGTATAAACACCAGGCCGACGCTCCCGCCTCGTGGTTCGTGGGGATGCTCTTCTTGTCCGCGAAGGACCCCGGAGCCACGTGAAGGATCATGGGCGGCGAGCCCCCGGAAAAGCGCAGGCCCAAGGGGCCTTGCTCCTCAAAGAAGGCGCGTCGGGTGGTTGCTTTTGGGGCCGAGGGGACTGTTTGTTGGATGGTCAAAGCTCCTTCTAAAAAAGGAATCAGTATAATTCCTTACTACCAGGTGGATGACCATACCCCCACTATTGAAGGTGTCTTTTGACCATGGCACATATGATAGTCCCCAGTTTGAGACATCCTCATGTCGTTGCACTGGTCATTTTGCCGCCCACAACCCGGGCTACAAGGAATATACCCAAAAAACAAATCATCAATCACAATGGCGCCTGCATCCCATTTAGATCTTGGCGGTGATCATGTTGTGTTGCTGTGCGCCAAAAAGTAGTGCTGCCTCTGATGTCCTTGTTACTTGCTGTGGCTGTTGCAATGGCTGCTGTATCTTGTGCCTGTTTCCTTCTCTGTTGCTGCCGCTGTTGCTGTTGTCATGACGCACCGGAAAACCCCCCGCTCCTGTGAGCTGAACTCGAACCGCAGAATTCCTTCCTCGAGGGCTGGCAGCGCATCCATGTTCACCACATTCAGCTCCGGCGCCGCTGCCGCGGCATTTGGCTCCACGGGCAGACCAACAGCAGCTTCCCCAGCGCTGCTGCTGCTACTGCTGCTGCTCTTGGCCTTCTTCTTCTTGTCCTTCTTTTCCTTCTTCTTCTTGTCCTTCTTCTTGTCCTTCTTCTTTTTCTTCTTCTTGTCGCTGTCGCTGTCCTTGTTCTTCTTACCCATAGCGCGCACAGGGCTGAGCCATAGAGGAGGCCCCTACTGCCCTGCTTAGGCCAAGCTAACGGCTGAACAACGCCATCAACACGAAGCCATGGCCATGGGAGGCCCATGTCGTTTCCCGTTTGCGTCAAACGACGAATGTTGGCAATTGTCCAAACAAAAAAGCTGCATCTTCACAACAAATGCCATTGCCATTGTCCTAGCTTCTTGGGCACCTTCAACCACAGAAACGCAATCTTGCACTGACGCAAGAAATCCAGGGACAACCCCTTCGACACAAGTGCAGGTGGACAGGAGACTAGTGACTTGTATTACTAGTGACTTGTATTCCTGGCCCCCCTTGGCTTTTGCCATCAGAGACGGGCAGGGTTTGGAGCGGCGGTCTGCGTAACTCGGAGCAGTCCTGGCACATCCCGCAGCACCCAGTTGCCATTCTGAGCCACGTGGAGACAGCCCTGCGGCTCGGGCACGAGGAATCCCCAACCCCCTGCCACAAACGGGGGAAGACGAAGGAGGCGGATGAGGGGTCCGTCAAGTTTGCCTCGACATGTCTGTGACTATTGAACTTCATAGTCGACTTATTTGAAGAAAGGGTTGGGAATGGCCATCCCGAAAAGTAGAGGTAGGGAAGCAGAGCAGGGGTAGGAACCTCCTAAGGCTTCGTTGAAACATGGGCACGTCTTTTTTTTGGGGCAAGCCCCCCTCAAATGGTGATTTTCCTTTGCGTTTCCCGGTAAACCAGACCCAAAGAAGGTGCCATGCGGCAAACAAATCGCCAGATGTGACTTTTGCTCCGCCTTCGCCGCCAGCAGCCCCAGGCGCTCCCCAGGCCCCGGCGCCGGCCACTCAGCCGCGGAGCTAGCGCCGCCTGGCGGGGAGGGGGGGCGCTTTGGGGGAAGCCCGCGTTGGATGCTTGGCCCAGCCCGAAAACACGGATTTTGCTTGAGGGGACCTGCATTCTGCGAGCTTGTTATGACTTGCCCAGCTGGGTGGCTGCCTTTCCTTGTTGGATAACCTAAATGTGGAGTCCACCGATTGTTGCCGTTGCACACTGTCACTCGTTTCGAGCTTTCTAAGGAGGAATCCACCAGCTAGGCAGAATGGTAGGCCTGACAAGATCATCCAAGCAAACATAGCAGGGGAGAGCACAGGATGAGCAGGTTTGCGTTTGAGCGTGTACTGTGACCCATTGACAACAAACGAAACAAAAAGAACTGTCCAGTAGAAGGCAATGGCACAGAATGAACAAAGAAGTAGACCTTCGGCTTGTAGTTGGAGGCGCATTCTAAGGACCACACGTTTAAAGAGTCATAGAGCCATAAGCATCGCGGACCAAACCTCGTGCAGGTCAGGTCTGGCTCTGTTCTGCTGTCATCGCCTGCCTGCAAAGACTACGCCGTCGTAGCCGATGCTCACAGAATTGGGGACCTGTCGCAGGCATGCGAGCTTCCGAATCGGGTGCCTTCTGTTTCGAGCTCCTGCTGTCTCCGAATAATTTACAACCCAACTTATTAAATCTCCAACCATGCGAGATATCCCCGCATTGACCAACCATCCGGTACAGGCAGAAAAGGAATCTTGTCAACTAGTCAATGGCAGTGTTCATTCTGCCTCCTTACTCGACCCTCCAAACAACAGTGCTTTCGTGCCCAGGATACTCAACATCCAACAATTGCGTTCGGATGGGAAACCAAACAAAGAGCCCAATGTTCCAAACAATCACAGTATGCTATTCCACACCCAATCAAGCGTATGAACCACCAAACTGAACCAAAAATGAGAAAGGGCAAAGCTGGGCAAAGCTGGGCCAAGCTGGGCCAAGCTGGGCAAAGCTGGGCAAAGCTGGGCAAAGCTGGGCAAAGCTGGGCAAAGCTGGGCAAAGCTGGGCAAAGCTGGGCCAAGCTGGGCAAAGCTGGGCAAAGCTGGGCAAAGCTGGGCAAAGCTGGGCAAAGCTGGGCAAAGCTGGGCAAAGCTGGGCAAAGCTGGGCAAAGCTGGGCAAAGCTGGCAAAGGAACCTCGCCAAAAAGCAAGAAGGCATTAAACAGGGACCCACTATCTTCCAAACACAGCCCAAAAGTGGTGAAACTACAAACAAAGAAAGGGCGTAAAAGGGCACCCACCCCACCCACCCCCCACCCACCCCACACCCACCCCATGCATCCCGGCCTCCTGGCCCCCGGGCCACAGCTGCCGCGGCGCCTCCGCGCTGAAGCCCAACGCCAGGCCCGGCGCCGCTGACTCCAGGCGCACCTCGCCGGAGCTCGACGGAAGCGGAGCCCAAGGTCCGTTTGGCCACCCCGGTTGCAACAAACGCCCTGTTTACCATGAGACATGTTCGGACCATGCTGCATCGGCCAGTTGCAAGCAATGAGAAATCCTTGGCAACTTTTGTTTGTAAGCTGTGGCTCCTTGTGATAATGGTGACTGAAAGCACTGCTGTTTGATATTCAAACAGTCCCATTGGATTTTTGTGCAAGGGATTCTTTTATTTGAGAAGGGCCAAGTGGATGAGAATCGCCTGTATACCCGAACACCACACTGTCCTCAATGGCTCACTTTACAAAATTCGGGCGGGGTTTACCTTTTGGAGAACGGATTGGGAAACAAACCGCGCGGCCCTGTGACGCGCGGCGCCGCGCGCCCCACCTCAAAGTAGACTCCCTGCGCAGAGCGGGGTGCAGCGCCGTTGCCAAAGACCACGGCCTGGCTGACGGAGCCAACCAGCACGGTCTCCGGAAAGGGCGGTGTTCCTTCCTAGAAAAGTGAAACTTCAAAAACAGATGAAATACGTCTGACAAGGCTTAGATGTAAGTTGTCCTTCCAGCCTAGACTGTCGCCTGCGGGGGGGGTCCCAGGTCTTCGAAGCAGCCAATGGCTTGCTTTCCGCATGGAGACCTGCGCAACATGTTCTCTGGCTTCAACTAGAGTCATGCAGGAACCGGTTGACGCTTTCAATTGGAAAGACGAGGTAACCGTAATGGCGAATAAAGCCAACATCGCTTCAAAAGTTTCCCAAGCATGTTTGAAGCCAATCACAGTTCGCTCCACCCATGCGGCCATGGACACACCGCGCATGAAACATAGAGTCTGTTGACCTCTGGGCCTCTAGAAAAGATGCTCCGAAATGGTGGCATGACCTTGTCCTGGCTGCTTGAGCAAGTCCAGGCCTCCCCCCCAACCCCCCGCGCCTGGTGCTGGCTCTTCTTCCGGCGCTGCGCCACAAGCATCTCCTCAGATGCCAGCTCTTGGACTTCCCCTCAACCGAAAAACATGCTGCTTGTTCCGAAAACTTCCAGGTTGGCTCAAGGGAGGGTCTTCAAAGGCGGGCTTGTGCCAAAACGCGAGCCTCGAGAAACAACATGTCATGCGTACCCATCATAGATTGTCAAAGGGTGCTAGAAAACATACCGCCTGCCCAAAATGCCCACCAGTCCTCTCCCCCTTCTGCCGAGCAACGGCCGAGAACACCACATCCGAGGGCTTGGGGTGCAGTGCAAAGGCGGTCAGAGGCCCCGAGAAGTCGTAGGCCGGGCTGGGCGCAGTAAGTTCAGGCAACCCACACCAGGGCGCGGGGGAATGTTTCAAACAACCATGCTCGGTTCGGGTCTGCATCTTTGCCATATGACTCACTCAGCAACAGGCAGGCAACTGCATCCTCTAACATTGTATCGGTTAGTGCCGAAGGTAAGGTCAAAATCCCGTTTTCGGATGGACGACCATACTCACCTGCACCGGGATTGCAACTGCTTCCTCAGGGCAGCAAGCGCAAACCTGTGAAATAGAAGGGAAGACCACCTCACCAAAGCCCCCGACCAAACAGGTGTTTTGACCACAACACACACGCTTCCCCGCACATTCTCCGTGGCCCGCCAAACGAGCTTGTCTCGAAATAATGAGTCGGTTCCTTTTAGCTTCACTTTACACCAAGCCAAGACGGGTCCCTTTGCCCAACTGGCGGCTGCGCCCAGCCTCTTCTCATCGGCACCTGGCTCTGCAATGCGTGCGGTCCGGCCCGCTGCCACAACGGCATCCGGCACCAAGCGCACGGCAACCGTGTTGCCCAGAAGGTCGATGAAAGGATACCTGGACAGTCAAAACAACCACACTGACATCTGTTGGGCGCCCACGGTTTGGAGCATGTGGGCCAAGTATGTATGCATGTATGTATGCTCGTGTGTAGGTACATGTCGACGTCTTTGCAATTCTACATACACAGAGATATGGCAGAGATGGTACCATCCCCAAATGCCCAAGTTCTGCCGACCACGAAAGGTGTATTTTCATGATGGCTACTTGTTCTCTGCAAGTTTGGGGGGGTTCCAAACAAATGTATTTGGTGGTGGTGCGTGTTAGCTGCTTTGATTTTGTGGTAACTAGCTTTGGCTTCATTTAGGGGTGGGCTTGAGCCTTGTCTTTGCACCCTAATTTTGACATGGCAGCTGCCTGCTCAGGCTGCAAAAACAAGAGACCGTCAGCTGTGCCAATTCTACAGAATCCGACAAGATCGAGGCTGAAGAGAATGCCTGTGTCGGCAGACCCAGTCTAGCCCATTTTACGCCGCGATCTGAGCCAACAATCCCACCCTTTTGTTGGACACCACACCAACACCCACACAGTCACACGGGGACATCTCGCAAGCTGCCCAGCCGCATCGGCTCCTGCGCCGGCAGGCCCGTGACGTTGGACAACTTCAGGGACCCGTTCTGGTACAGCTGTCCTGCCATGTGGGCTTGTCTCAAAATAGGTGGACTGGCTCCCTTCGACCAACCCAAAAACATGGACCCATGGAGCATGGCTCTGGGGCTCGGGAGTTTATGGAGTATGAACCTTCTCTTTCCGTCGAATCGATGCGTCCAAAAGACCACGGAAAGCTGATCGTTCCATAGGAACAGAAACTGGGAGGGTGGATGCTTAAAAGCTTAAACCTTCCTAACCCCAAGATATTCCAAAACAGCGAATTGTTGCATCTCCTTCTCCCTCAGTGCTGACGAAGAGACCCACCCTGTCGCCGGCTTGTAGGTCCTCTCCGCACAAGGGCCCAGCAAGTCACATTCAATCGCAACTATTACCAGGACTAGTTGCGGCGCTTCTTGGGATGTGAATTAAACAAAACTCGTCCTTGGCGTCCCTCAAAGTTGTGGGTCAAGAAGAAGTCTGCAGAGTGTAGTCCGAGAAAGGTTTTAGGAGCCTCACCTTTGGGATGGTTGTTCAGGGGGAACGAAGGAAAAACTGAAACCAGCCATTTTCAGGGGCCAGCACACCTTGCGGAGCTCCCCAGGGCGCGACCCATCCGACTCTCCTTGGGGTTCCAGCTGATGGGCACCGGCTCGTCGGACTCATCCAGACGCATCTGCCCATTGTATCCTCACATGCTGCCCATCACCAAGCTCCCACCACCCACCTCCCACTTCCCACCTTCAACCACCACCACCACCTCCCCCTACCTCACACATCCTCCACTCCCTCCAAGCCGAGCGTCCGAAGCTCCAGGACCGCGGCACGTCGTCCGCCGCCTCGAAGTTCGCGAAGTCCTCCGGCGCCGGCAGAGTCGCGGCCACGCCCAGCACCAGGCCTCACCCGCGCTTGCGCGCGCATGTGCGCAGGGAGAGCAGTGGCTCCCCTCTGGGCGTCTCAAACGCAGGGCTCTTGGAGGTTTCCCTTTGAGCCCAAGGCATGGGTGCTCAAGAATCCACTTGGGACCAAGGGAAAGGAAGAGAACGCGGCCGGCTGCAAGGGGGAGGTGTGTAAGATAAAGGAATCTAGGGTTGAAAGAAGTGCAATTGGCATCAACAAATGCATTTCACCATGCGGATTCAGGTGTGCTGATGAACATGTGATCTTTACGCGAATCGGTAAACAGGCTATAGCGTTCAGAAGCACCATCAATGGCAACCACATATCTGCTTGCCGCGGTGCCATCCAGCTCTGCAGAGTGGGTCTTCTCCACACAAACCTCGAAGTAGAAGCCTCCAAGGAGCAGCAAATCTGATCCAACGCGTGGGCCTCTTTTTCGAGGGTACCCCCTTTTTGAATGGAGCATGAATTCCGCCAGGCTTCCAATCTCAAGAGCTGGAGTTCTGAGTTAGCAGCTCATGCCCTGCTGGAGCTACTGTTGTGGCCGGGCAACCATACATCAATTTGACACGTTCTCTCTGCTATGATGTGTCAACCAAACAGTTGCACCAAAAAGATCAGCACACGCACAGCGCCATAGGAGTTGCCGGGGCCTCACCACTCTCCATTCACTCTTGAACGCCCATTCGCGGTTTGCGTGTCCTTCTTTGTGTTGAGTCGAATTGGCCGAGTCCCGCCTCCCTCCACCTGGGGCATGGCACCGCTGCAGAAGACCACCCCCTGCAGCCGCTCTGGGTCCTCCGTGCCCAACATTGGGAAAAGCTACATGGGGAAACAAAGGAAACGAGCCCGCAAAGCGCACGCATTTCAGGAAAGTCCCATTTCCCTGCCCCAGATAAGGGCTTACCCTAAGGGCTTACCCTTCAACAAACGAAACCGGCAAGCCGATTGTAAGGGCACTCAGAAGTCACAGAGTCAAAGGGTCACCGGCCTCCAACCTCAACCGCCCCAACCGCCCCAACCCGACCACAAGAGCCGCTCCTCGGGCGCCACATGCTCCGCCTGCAGCCCGTCGCTGCTGAGCTGGACCTTTGGCACTCCCCCCCCACGAATGTAACACGTTGCAAAATAGGTGGAGCACGAATTGTGAGACCACCAGGGTTTGGAATCCCATGAACTTGCGGGCACCCCACGCCTTTCGACAAGTCAAATAATTTGGGCATCCGACACAGCCGCGTTTGGCAATTGCCCCTTGGCCCGATCCCTTGACGCTGAAGCCCAAGCCCCTCTGCGATCCAGGCGGCCGAGGCTCCCTTCAGCTCAATGCTGAAGGTGAAGGGCACTTTCACCGCCGTCGGCGCCCCCGGCGCGGAGGTGGGATCTGCTACGGGGACGGCCTGGGGCCACGGATTGCCCTCTGTACAGTGGTCTTCTTTGTGGCTCTGCGTCAGTGCTCTTTCTTGTCAGGGTGGGGCAAGGGAGCCACATGAAAAAGCGGGTGACCAGGCTGCTGGTTGAAAAGTGACATCAGTTCCAAAGCTGTGACTGTTGCACCGAGCTCGGGCTGGTTTTGCCGAAGGACAAAGGGTGAGATGCGCAGCCTCTGCCGTACACTTGGCAGGTCTCTCTCTCTTGATTAACTGGATGGTGAGCAAGTCTTGCAAGAAATGTCAACTTCGGTTAGTCCGACGGATGATACAAAGTAGGGGTGGTTCCACGTGTAGTGCAGACTGGCTTCATTCTAGGGTGATTTCTCTGCTCAATATGCTCCTGCGGATACATCCACATGATTTTTCAACCTGCTGTGCAGAACATGCACTGCGAATTTCAGGAAATTGACAAGCACATGAAATCAAGACAGCGCAGCGCAGTGCTTTGCCGGGCAAATCACCGAGTGTGCTCAACCCTGGCATTAATCTCTTGAAGAAGTTGTGACCGTGGTACCGGCTTTCGCAAACTGACACATTATCAACAAACTGTTAGGTGGAGGCAAACCAAGACGTTGCACAGGCCTCTGGGGCAGCAGCCGTCGCCGCCGCCGCCGCCGTAGGCGGCTGCGCGTCCGGCACCAGGCATACAGCCGCAGCCGAGCCCAACAAATCCACCACCGCAAACAGCGGGACGGCCATGGGCAGGCCCGACACACCAGACACCTTCAGCTCGCCGTTGCAAAAGATCTGCCCCTCGCCCTGGGGAGTGACCAGGAACCCAACGCGGTCGTTCACCTGCAGGTCTTTGGGGTTCCAGTCCAGGACAATGGCATCATCCCTGTCGGGGAAGACAGCCTTCCCGTCGAAACCAAAGCAAAAGGCGTTTGGCACATCGTCCGCCGTCTCAAACGGCGGGTCGGGCAATGCTCCCGGCAGACCAGTTGCCACACCCAGCGTTAAGCCGTCAACCTCACCCACACGGACCTTTTGCAGCTGCACCTCGAAGTATACTCCAAAGGCATGTACTTGCAGCGCATTGGCTGAAAAGAGCACCCCCTGCATCGCACTGCCCGTCTCATCCACCCGCGCGGCGGAGGTCCCATCTGCGGACACCTGCACCTGGGAGCTTGACAAGTGGCGGGCAAAGTGCATCTGCTGCGAGGGTTGTGTGCCGGCCGCTGATGCTGCCAGCACAGTGGCTGCAGACACTTCAGATGCTTTAGCTGCAGCCTTGCCTGCAGCCTTGGCTGCCGCAGGTGCAGCGCGAAGGGCAGGTGCTGCCTTGACTTCTGCAGAGGGTGCACTTGGTGCAGTGGCTGTAGCAGGTGGACGGGGAGCCGGTGTGCTTTGTGGAGGCACGCTAGCTGCAGGCTTCACGCATGGCGTGCCAGGCCCGGGTGTGGACGCGGCGCCGGTCGGCTGAGTTGGCGCAGGAACTGCTTTGGGCGTGTGCGCCACGGTGGCAGTTGGCACTTCAGCCGCGGTCGCGGGCGCGCCTGACGGCAGTGGTACGGGCGTGGCACTTGCTGGCCCAATTGAAGCCGCAGAGGACCGGATGGGCACCTGCAGTGCAAAAAGCAAAGCCTCATCATCGGTATGTTTGGGTTCATGCCCTTGAAACAGAATCATGTTGAGCCACTGTTTCTCCATGCATCAAAAAAAGCCAAAAAGGACTATCTCAAGATTCCTACTGATGCATGCTTTCTACTCACCGCCTCCAACGTCGCAGATGTTCCCGCCGTAGGCGGCTGCGCGTCCGGCACCAGGCATACAGCCGCAGCCGAGCCCAACAAATCCACCACCGCAAACAGCGGGACGGCCGTGGGCAGGCCCGACACACCAGACACCTTCAGCTCGCCGTTGCAAAAGATCTGCCCCTCGCCCTGGGGAGTGACCAGGAACCCAACGCGGTCGTTCACCTGCAGGTCTTTGGGGTTCCAGTCCAGGACAATGGCATCATCCCTGTCGGGGAAGACAGCCTTCCCGTCGAAACCAAAGCAAAAGGCGTTTGGCACATCGTCCGCCGTCTCAAACGGCGGGTCGGGCAATGCTCCCGGCAGACCAGTTGCCACACCCAGCGTTAAGCCGTCATCCTCACCCACACGGACCTTTTGCAGCTGCACCTCGAAGTATACTCCAAAGGCATGTACTTGCAGCGCATTGGCTGAAAAAAGCACCCCCTGCATCGCACTGCCCGTCTCATCCACCCGCGCGGCGGAGGTCCCATCTGCGGACACCTGCACCTGCGGTTGCACCCGCACTAAGAGCCCTGCAATACATGCCATGTGTGAAGCATGTGTGCTCCGAAATGCTAAAGTTGTGATTTCCAGCTCTCACTCTCACTTGGGGAGCCTATAAATCATGGTTGGGATCCGCTCCCATGGTAAACCGAGCCCAGACCAACTTTGATATACCCCCCAATCCAACACTCCAGCACCATCTTGTAGGCCTATGGCAACTTGCACCGCTCCGCCCGCCTGCGGGCTCGCCAAACTCGCGGCGAAGGCAACGGGCACGGCTTCCGCCTCCGCCTCTGCTGCGGCCGCCGCTGCGGCGGCTGCGGCTGCGGCGGCTTCGGCTTCGGCAGCTGCTGCTTTGGCTGCCGCCTGAGTTGGGGTCCGATGTCAGAGCTCTCTGTCGACACCATCCAAGCAGCGGCCAGTGGAACAGATAGCCCTGTTTAGTTCACGAACAAGGACTGATAGAACATAATGTGCATTGGGAAGGATGCACGATGTGACAACCACTCCCTTCCCAGGAAAACCAACCGGCCAAATCCGCCCTCACTCTGGGTTTGGGGCTGGCTGCCTCACTCCCCTGCAACTTGGCATGGGACCCAAAAAGTATGACTTTCTTAGAGCAATGAGCTTTGGGGGAACTCCCATTTTGGGTTCCAGGTCAATTTACTCAAACAAATCAAGAGGGTGTTCCCGCAACAGTGATTGATTCCCTCCAAAAACCGCAAAGTGCCCAACAACAAACATGGAACCTGAACCTGTGCGGAATCTATGCTTGTTTCTGCGAGTAACAAGCCCCCCCGCCGCCCCCGCTCATACGTCGGGTCCTTGCGCCTCCCGCCAAGGCGCCGCCTGCGCCTTCAGGCGCTCCGCCTCCGCCGCCAAAGCGGCCGCCTCCGCCCGCCGCCGCTCCGCCGCCTCACGGCCCTTCTGGCCGCGGAAGGCCGCCTGGATCCGCACGGAGGCCTGGCGCGAACCGAAGGCCAAAGGCCAAAGGCCAAAGGGTCCAGCCGCAAAATGGGGGGCGATGGCAAGACCTTGGAGATGGCACTGGGTACGAATCGGTATTTGATTGGTTGGACTCTTTGGTAGAAACCCTGTTTACATGGGGATTGTGTCTACCGATACTTAGTCAGCGTGGTTTCCCCTTTAAGCAAAATGTCCAAATCGGAAGCCCATCGAAACTCCCTTCAAATACCCTTCACCTTGCGCTTCGTCGAGGGCTAGCAAGAAACAGCAACTCGTCATCGCAAAACCCAATAGAAGGAGTAGAGTCCTCGAAAAGAAGGAAAAAGGACAAGAGGGGGAAAACCGACAATAAGCCCCCCCGCCTGAGTGCGGCTCTCCAGCGCCGCGAAAAAGCGCCTGCGCGCCCAAACGCCCCGCAGCGCCTTCTGCAGCCGCACTGCTGCTCGGCCACGGTCGCGCATGCGGACGTAGGCCTCTCTCTTTCCGAGGGCTGCCACCGCCAGATGTTGGCAAAAACAAGTGTAGGCCAACATCGACACCAAGCATGTGGACTTGATGTAAGGTTCGTAGTTTTTGCGAAGACCCCGGATCGGGGTTTGGAGGCTACGGAGACTCTAAGTGACGAAAAAAAGAAAAAGGGGGAGCCAATCCCCAAACCAGCAATCTAAACCCATCAAGGCTTCCTGATGTTTTTGCGCAGGCAAAAGAATGACAAGTGAAGAACCAACTGAACACCGTTGCCTTCCGGGCTATGGCCGGTGAAAGCGGCAAAGCGGACAACGAAAAGGGTTCCAACAGGGAGCTGAAACCGATGAAGCCCACACAACCCTGGGAACTAGAGTAGCTAGAGGGGTCACTGGCTTTCACACATGCCCATTCGCGGGCGAGCCGGTGTTTCTGAGCGTTGGGCCAAGTTGCCAACCCCCCAGGTGTGTGGTTGGCCAAGTGTGAAACTTCAGGCGTCCCAAATCCCCCGGCCTGCCAGAGCCGCTTCCAACGCCAGTGGGCCTGGATCTTCCGTGCGCAGCGCTGCTGCTTCTTCAACTGGCAGCGAACACTGGGCCCCCAACCGGCAATCTAACTCAGAGTCTTGGTGTTTGCTCTTGGGGTGGCTCTCCTTTGCACATGCAGTTCCGAAATCAAGACATAGGCAAAGAGAGAGAGAGAGAGAGGAAAAACAAGAGAAAGAGAGAGAGAAAGAGAGAGAGAAAGAGAGAGAGAGAGAGAAAGAAAGAGAAAGAGAGAGAAAGAAAGAGAAAGAGAGAGAAAGAGAGGTTCGCCCCTGCAAAAGCGGCAGCAAGGGCCAACACTGTTTGACCACCAGCCGCCCCAAGCTTCACCAGCCTTGGGCATGCTGCGGAGGTCTCGAATCGTAGGTTGAAGTCAAGAAAACTGTCTTTAAATCGGTTTATTATGCATCTTCAATCAAGATGTTGGCAACAGGCGGGAAGAAGACCTAACAGGAGCTGGCCCAAACTAGATGCTCCAACGCCTCTGGAGTTCCTCCCCAACTTTGTAATCCACGATTGTTTGCCGACCTTTCCTCCCCACCCGCTCATCCTCCCAAACCTTTCCGCCTGCCTGTGCGCGCGCACGGAGGCCCCGGAACACACACTGCACCCGTAGGGCGGCACGAGACTTCACCACCAGCATGGAATAGACCTGCAACAACTCGGACGATCGAACCGTCAAACCACCAGCCTAAAAGGCAGTGTCCCCACTTTCGGTAATAGCTCCTAAAACCAATCACAACAACTCTACTTTCGAAGAGGGGCAACCCCTAGAATCCGAGCTGCTTCCGAATTCCCTGTTGAGCACGCAAAAAAGGGAGGGGGGCCAACCCCATCTCGACCAAGCCTGCTGCCGGGCGCGGTTGCCTCGGTGCCACGACTGGAGCTTCAGCGCCGCTTTGCGCTGCTGCGCTGTGCGCAGCCAGGCCAGCTGAAACCTGCCGATGGCTGGAGACACGGAGTGGAGTGGCGTAGTCCAATTGAAGTGGCTGGTGGAGACAGTTAAACGGATAGGGTGGGAAGAGGCCGATTTTCCTCTTGTTTTTTTTTCTGCAAAGAAAAACACATACATGATGTACGTACAATCCAAGTTCAAAATTCACGCTTGTTCCTTCAGCCTGAAACAAGGGAGCAAACTGTTGCCTGGCAGCTTTGGGACAACCACCTAATTCAACCCAGCTCCGGATCTCCCCTCCCTGGCCTCTTCCGGCGCCACCAGCGCTGCAGTCGGCACGCGCATTGCCTCGCCTTCTCCTCATCAGCAGACCTGGCGAGGCATTTCGCAGGGTGTTCACCGCAACCCTCCAACCCTACCCCGCCCCAAGACGCCGCACGATGGCCCCACGACCCCTCCGCCCCAGCCGCCCCCTCCCGCGAGCGCCTCCGGCCCCGCAGTCCCCGGAACCGCCGCTGGATGGCCCCGGCGGCCTTGTGCCTGCGCCGTGCGCTCTGCGCCTGCCAGGCCCGGCCGATGTGCTGCGCCGCCGCCTGGCGCCGCACCTCCGGGGTGTGGGAGAGAGGTGTTGAAGGGTCGAGGGGTTGGGTGGGGACCCACATCCTCAAAGAGGCAAAACTCTTCCTGAGATCTTTTGGTGTTTGCGTTCTCCATTCCCGCAGCTGCACCCCCAGAACCAAGCGGGCCCCGGCCTCCTCCTCCAGCACCTGCAGCCGGGTGTTGCGCCTGGCCCGCGCCAGCAGCTGCTCCGCCTCCGCGAAGAGTGCCTCCACCTCCTCCCCAAGCCTAGGCTTGGAGGCGAGCCGGTGCCCCAACAAAAAAACCCATCGGAAAAGCATATATATATATATATGTATATAACGAGGTTTATGCAATGAGCCGACTTCCCAAAATGCAGATGGAAATGCAGGAAAAACCTTGAGGGTTTTGATGTAATTTGCTTGGGGTGAGTGGTGGGGGGCTTGGGAAGGGACCGCCAACCCGACCTTCTCCTGGCGATCTGGTGGAAAAGGGAGGTAACGGTCAGCTTCGGCTACTGAACGGTCAGATTCGGCAACTAAACGGTGGGATTTGGCAACTAAAAGGTAAGATTCGGTAACTAAACATTAATCGGCAACTGCAACGACCGGATTCGGCAACAAAAGGGGAGGATTCGGAAACTGAAACGGTGGGATTCGTTAACTACATGGTTACTTCAACTAAACCAGTGGGCACACGGGAAACCCCGCTGCATGGATGGGAATAAAAGAATAGAAGGCGCGGAAAAAAGCGGAAGGCAAGGCACGGAGGACACGGGCAGGGCAGTTTCTGAATCGAACGTATTTGCTGAATCGCGCGGTTTGGTTACTGAATCGTAGTTGCTCAATCCGCCCTTTTTAGTTGCCGAAGCTTAGTTGCTGAAGGGAAGAGGGGCGTAGTTGAATGAATTAAGACGAACCCAACTGGTGGCTCATTGGAAAACAGAAACTCATGTCCGTCCCAAATCGACCTTTGACAAAACTGGAATTCACAAAACCCAACAGGGGCATGAACTTTCAATTTGGAACCCCTTGGTGGACACCAATTTGCTGGGGTCCCATGTCGACCACTTTCGAGCTGGCTCCAACTCTTACACTTCATCGCCGCTTCTTCAGCCCTCCGCACCGAACCTCAGATGGGTCGGTCTTTTTTGGTTGTTTTGAGGACGCCCAAAGCGGCACCGAGGGATCCGCACCAAAATGTGATTCGCTTTTTCCTGCTGGTTTCCCGTTAAACCCTCCCAAAAACGGGAGGCTCCACAACAGACGCGGTTGAACCGACTCCGCGCTCCGAAGCCCCGCCTGGGCTTGGCCACGAGCCTCGGCTCCACCTGCGGCAGCTCCGGCAACGGCGGCACCCGCGCCACCCAGCCCTCCTCGATCGCGCTAGGAGAAGCTGCGGGAGATACCAAGGTCGTTACAAAGTTTTTCACGATACCAGATTGGCGAAGGCGCGAAAATGCGGGTTGATGGCTATGGGTGTGTGTTTCCACCAAGATAGACCTGTTGAGGCTTGTCTGGAATTCTATCTGAGAGTTCTTTGTGGCAAATACATATCCGTTGTGATTATGAAATATGAAAAGGGGATTGGGCACTGCTCGTTCGAGGTGTGAACTCCTATTTTGAGAAACCCATCTATTGATCCAAAAGAACACCTGGGCTTCGGTCGGCGTTTCATGTCGAACAGTTCTGAAGCTGCAGACTGCAGTTTAAAGTTCCCTTCCGCATGGGAAGATGTCAAACTAAGTTTGGGGGACTTTTGTGACGCTGTGACCCTAGTTTGCATCCTGCTTGGTTTTGTCCTTTTCGGGGAAACAACGGTGTTGACCTGATTGATAACCCAGCCTTTGAATCTTATTGGAAAAGAACATTTGCCAAAGTGGAAGCAGACAGGCCTTCTCCTGAGCAAGGGGCCTCGACTGACTTTGTTGGTCGCAGCAGAGCGCGTATGTGCATTGTACATATTAATATATATATATATATATGTAGTTAGACATATGCTATGCACATATGTACACGCACACCAAATACATAGTTGTGCATCGGCTATGCCGAGCCGCCTGGAGAACAAGCGATTTTGAGGTTTCCTTGAGAGTTTGCGCATTCCTCAAATACTTTAGAAAGCTGTCACAAGGGCACTGCCAGGCACCAAGCCAAGGAGACTGCTCTGCCACAACGGGCCCCAGGTCTTTTTGCGGCCCAAACCAATAAACCATTTCTTCCTAGTTTTCGCACCTTCCCACGATTTCCCGTGTCAGCTCAAATGCTGTGTCCCCGACATTCTTCAACCAATGGAGTAAGGACAATGGAGCTGATCCAATGCAGACAAGAAAGGCCCCTCCCAACGCCCGCCCGGACCCTCGCCTGCGCTCGCTTGGGTGCCATGGCACCTTCGACGGGTGCAATGGTTGCTTGTCTGGTTCTCTTTAGACCCGAGAACAGCCTCACGCACAATGCAACTATTAAACCCATGGCTTCATCGCTTAGGCTGGAAGCACTGCATCTCCAAAATGCAAACATCAGCCTCACAATGACAGGACCTCCCACCACAACTCCGAAGGACTCGCACACAACAGGATCAACAGCATCCGTGCACGCCCCTTTTTTGCTCTCCCTCTTGAAGGGTCCCAGGCGAACTTGCCAAGCCCCAAATGCAGAAGCTGTGCAGGGGTCCTCAGCCGCGCCTGGATGCCCTCGTCAGGCCTCGTAGGCCTGCACCGGGCGTTTGGCCGTTGCGTGTCATATGCAGTTTTGAAATGTTTGCCGATTTCTTACTTCTAGATAGAACCTGGCTATTTAGAAACTTCCCCGGGCCAAAGTAATTGGCTCAGATGCTGACAGGTCTCACCACCAGCACCTTGCACTAGGAACCAAAGTCCGGCAATAGGACAAAGAAGATTGGGTCTCGCTCTCTGATCAGGCAGAAAACACCAGCAGAAGAAGTCGCTCGCTAGCCGCAACCTTTTTCCACTTCAGGCACATCGCAAACTCTCTGGTCTGCGGTCGGCCGTGCATCTGCTTGGAGATGTTGTCTCAAAATTCGGACCCATCCAAATGGAATGGCTCCTGTGGCTTCAAAATCAGGACCCTTCCAAATGGCGTGGTTCCTATGGCTTTCTCTGCCAGATCTTCTGGGTATAATAACCCCACTGGCGCAAAGAACGGTGCAGCCTGGCTTCAACTGCTTGCCTGAATGGCTCATATGAGCTGAAGCAACTTGCACACGATGTCCTTCGGACTCAAAACTGGTGCTGCTTCCATTGCGCAACCCTGTGAGGAGTTCAATGCTCTCCCCAGGCTTCTTCGCTCCAAGCCGGAGAAAGCAGACTTGGCCGGCCCGAGCTCCAAGCTTTGGGCGTCCAAGCCGATGTGGTCTGCACCTCTGAGCCCGGCACCCGATGCGCAGGACCTTCGCCAGGCTACAAAGCCGGCCCACGGGTCGGCTCCTCATGGGCACGACGCCGCGCACATCCTTCTTGCCGGGAAAATCTCCCGGGCCCCTCTTCTCCCAATCCACCTCAGTCGACCTTTTCACAAGGGATCGCTGGATCCAGGCGAAAAGAAGCCGGTGGCGATCAGTGCCGCGACAAGAAATGTCGCAACGCCAGCTGGTAGGAGCAGCTGTCGAGCTCCACCTGAGTGAGGAGGGGCGAAGGCGACATGCTTCTGCTGGGCTGTGTTCAAACACGTCCCTCAACAAATGGTTGAAACCTCGGGTTCCTTTTTCCAGTGGGGGGGGGGTCCAAAACAAGAATCCAAAGATGTTGCGGTTTAGTCTTAGACCGTCCAAAAGGCGGGCCCTTCTTCCCATTCAAATTTAGGGGCACTGGTTTCGCTTTGGTTTCTCGAGCAAACACAAAAATATCCAACTGGCTTCTTCAGGGTTGGCCAATCCTGATCCGTAATTCTTGTGTTGAAGAGAAGCAAGGACTTCTCTTCTACCAACATGGCTATCAAGTTGTTTGTCTTTTTTCGGCCTCTCCCAGTACCACGACACCAGGTAGGAACTGAACCACCTACTAAAATGGCTTCTAACCGGCCTGCTGCTGCTGCTGCTGGAGCAGCAGGTCCAGGGACAGCTGCCACTGCTCGCCCTCGCCGCAGGCGGACACCACGGTGTTGCAGAAGATGGTGTTCCTCGGGTTCCAAGGTGTCCACTGCCAACATCAGGATACACTAGGTCTGCCAAAATCAGGATACACTGGCCTTTTCCAATCAGGAGATACATGACCTTCATGTAGTGGTCAGCAAGGCTTCTCCATGTTTTGGACCTTGCGCCCGTCCACAACATGTGGATGCTGAAAACTTGGATCAGCCACCTTCCAAATTCTGGGAACAGTTGCGAGGTCTAAGACGAATGCCACTAGCCCGAAACCACAATTCCCAAGCCAAATCAGATACATAAGCTTTACGTAGTGGTTAAGCAAGCTTTGTTTAAACAACCAGACCCAGTGACCGTGGGTCTGTCCCAGAATGAAGTTGATCCCTTTTGGGGGGGATGGATGGAAAGACCACACCCCACTTTGCTCCGAGCAGAACAACTCGAACCGCGAACCACAAACCCAAAGGAAACCAGCAGCGACCATCGCGCCAGCTCGGTCAGGGAGCTGTGGGAAGCCACGCCTTTGGTACTCCTCCCAGAGGGCAAGGGCCTAACAGTGGGCAAGGCTTCTCAGGAGTGGGCGACAGTGCCACATACAAAACCCCAAGATGGCGTGGGTCAAACCGGCGGCCGAATGTGAGTAATGGTCGTGGTTCCCTCACGAGGGCCATTGATCCTGGGTGTCCATGGCACAAATGCCCAGCTCCTTCCACCTCCAACTCGGATACGTTCGGCCTTCCGATTCTGTTGTTTTCAAGACAACTGAACAAAGCCGGCACTTAAAAGACCTGCACCCTCTCCACCCACCCCACCCCCCCCCTCAAAGGCCTGCTGCCACTCCCCCGAGGAGGCCATGCCCGCCGCGACTGCCACAAAGCTCATCTCGTTGGGCTGCTGCGCGGCCTGCAGCCGTCCCGGGGATTTCTCCAAAGCCAAAAGCACACCACAAATGAGGGAAGCACCCGCATGTGCCCCCTTGATGGCAAAAAAATGGCAACCAATCTTCAAATTGGATGTTGAAAACAAAACAAGCTTGCCGTGCATCTGAAAAATAAAGCAGCCAAAGCCAGTGCCACAAGTTAGATCTCGCCAGCAGCTCTGTGTCGTGAGGCTCCTCACCCCGCCCGCCTCCAGCTGCCTCAGAAGCTTCAAGGCTTTGGCCCAGCTGCCGCCGCTGCTGCAGGCACTCATCGCTGCGGTGAAGCTCACCACGCTGGGCACCAGACCTGCAATGACTCGAGTGGTTTGGGGGCAAGCGGCTGATTCAGCTGTAGCCAAAAGAACCGACTGGCATTGAATTGAACGCCCCTGAAGGAAGGCGATAGTTGACAGGGAAACACACGCGCCCCGAGCCAAACACCCCCAAACCCCAAAGAAGACCATCTCCCCAACCTCCCCCTCCGCTGGCTCCGTAGGGCCATCAAAGAAATGATGTCGGGCCCCACGCAACAGCTGCTGCCTCTGCCGGCCAGCTCCTCGAAGATCTGCAAGCTGCGCTGCCACTCCCCACCTCCTGTCGAGAAGGCGGGGGAAGGCAGCCCTAGAAACAAGTCGTGTCTTTGTCAACTTAGAACTACTCCAGCTCGTCTTTGATCCACTCAAGATTTAGAACGTGAAATGCAACGTGGTGTCTTTACTGCTCAACACCAGCATTGGACGACCAGCGTGTAGCGTGTATATCAGCAAAAGTCATCTTAAAGAATCTGACAAGTCATTGGCATGAGAAGTTTCCAAGTCCGTGTCTGGTACAAACAACAAAATAACTCTACGGATGCGTTCTTGCAGGTGCATGTGTGCGTCCATACAAAAGAAGAAAACTGACAATTGCCACTCGCATCGATTGCCCTGCATCGATTGCAAGGGCAATCGATACGCACAATGATTGAATTGAGTTTGTTTTATTTCTTCTATTTGATGCTGATTCTGGGCGGATCTGACCAAAACCTAAATAGCACTTAAGCTGTCTCTAAGACTCTAAGAAGCACAATTTATGGGGATGCAACAAGCAACCAAAGGAAATCGACCTGCTGCCCGGAAGCTGGGCCCTTTCTTGTCTGCCTGCAAACCTCAAATCTCAGGCTTTGTGCCACACACCTTGTTTGCCATTGCAAAAAAAAATGGTGGGGTTTGGGCCCGCAAGTATCCAATCAACATATCCAATTGAGCCTCAGAACTAGCCAACGACCATTTCGTGCCATACCTTTGTTTTCTAACGAGGTCCCGCTTGCTCGCTCGCTCCCGAGCCCCCCGTCCTTCGCAGGCACTGATCGCTGCGTTCATGGTGATCAGGTTCGGCTGCAGCTGCTCCTCTTCTGCCTTGAGTGGCATGTTTGGGCAAGGAGCTGGGGCATGCCAATTCTTCTAGCGCAAGTGGATCTTGCAAAGGTCATATGCCGAATTGCTGCAGTCTTTCCACCCGAGGATTCCCCCACAAATGGTTGGTTTAGCCAGCCAGCTCAAGAAAAGACTGCACAGTTGTAGGGAAGGCCTGACCCCATGCTTCCCACCCAGCCCTCCTCTGCCAACAGCTGTATGGCGCTGGTCCACTCCGCAGCATTGCCACAGGCGCTGATGGCCGCGGAGTAGGTGATGATGTTAGGCTTTAGGCCCCTCCTCGGCACCTCCTGCGATAGAAAAAGGACACCCCACCGCCCCTGCGATGCTGAAGAGGGATTCCCCTCTCTACGACAATGTTTGCTAAATGTTTTTGTTTTTTTTTCTCGACACCCTAGCCCAAGCCGCCCCAGCAGGCGGCCACTTTGGAAACATCGAAATGCTGGGTGGACACACTTGTGACGATCCCCCTGGGCACAAATGTATTGGTGGGATGTCACCTGGAACTGCGATGCTTGTAGTCCCAGCGCCACCCATGTATGCAAAACTGAAGGAGTCGTAGAGCTTCCAAAAATCCCAAGGTCCTATACTGACAAACTCATTGATCAAAAACAACTCACCTCCAAGCCGAAGCGGTGAAGAACTAAATGCGTCACTCCCTTATTCCTATCCATCCGCCACCACGCAAAAAGCCCACATGAAAAAGCGAATGAGAAAAAAGGTGTCCTTGAGCAAAACCAGGGCTTGCTCCCAATCCGACACCGTCTGACAGGCCGTGATGACCGCGTCCTTCGATGGCCAAGGAACGGACACCCGATTCGGCTACCTTCAGGAGGGTCCAACTTGAGATTGCGGCAACCAGACCCGTGGCGCCTCCCCCACACCTCCAAAACCAAAATGCCCGACAAAACACACATGCGAAAGGGAAAGAACGCACCAAAAACCGTCATGTTGCACGAACAACTGTGACAAAACACACACACACACACACCAAAAAAAAAAGAGAAAAAGAAACACGTGTCAAGAAAAGAAGAAGAAAAAAGAAGAAAAACAACTTCCGAATCCGAGGCGCGAAGGTGACCAGGTCTGGCTGCACCGCCTTGCTGTCCAGGCCCCGAAAGAGGCCCAGCGCCGCCTGGTAGTTCGTGGCCCCCTGGCAGCTGCTGATGGCCTCGACCAGGCGACTGGCGCCCAACCCCCGCACCACCAAAACTGAAGCAGAGGCGAACTGCCTGGTCGTGTTGCTGCGAAATAAACAAATATAAATAGACTCGACAAATAAATAGATATAGATAGATAGATAAATCTGCAAACAGCATAGAACGATACTTGTTGTCAGTAGAATCATGGGACCTCATATGTTACAAATTGTTGAGTCAAGGTTTGAGGAAGAGTGAACCTAAAGACCAGACCCGAACGGAATTGACCGAACCCGCCCAGCAACCTCGTGTCAACTCCAAGGCTAAACCTGACACGCACGACCCAAACTCAATCAAGCCATCCTCCAACCCTGAAGGCACTAGCACCACTGACTTGAAGCTGAAGGCGATTTCCCTTCCCCCCCAAAAAAATAAACAAACATAAAATGCTCCCCAGACTCCCCCGACCGGGGCGCCGCGTTGTAGCTGATGGCGTCCGCCATCTGCTGCTCCTCCACCTCCGCCAGCAGGCCCAAAGCCTCCGGCCAGGCCGAGGCCTTTTCGCAGGCGCTGATGGCGCTGTTGTAGGTGATCACCTGCAGCGAGGCCGCGGCATGACCCGTGGGTCTGGTGACAAATCATGGGCGGTGACCAATGGATTCTACAGGTCCTATGTTGATTCTACTGGTGATCACAAAAAACATGGCGGATTCTGCGGGCCACAGGGGGTGTCCTCTCGAGGTTTTCACCATCACCTCATGTCAAGTGAGCTTGTTGTTTGGTAGGGGAGATGATTGAAGGAAAGAAAAGCACAAGAGAGACCATGCCAACCACCCACATGGGCGTGTGCCACCCTTTCGCTTCAGCTCTTGCGTGGACACTTGATCTTGGGACAGCAAAACCATACTTCGCAAGGCAGCGCATTTGTTTCATGCGTTTGCTATCGAAACTAGCTTTCTCCATCGAGGTTGTTGAAGAGCTTCTGCGAAGCGCCGGAACTGACAAGAAGCAACGGCATACTAAGACACACCAAACAGAGCAGTCAATCAAACTGAGCTCGGTGTTCAATGCGTGTTCAATGCGTACCAACAACCCGTTGAGATGGGGACCCACAACGCCAACCAACCGAGCGGCGTCTTTCTGGAGGTCCTGGAGTCGGAACTCCTGGAGGAGCCGAAGGTGAGAGCAACAGCACCCATGGAGAACCAAAATGAAATAGGAGATGGACACACAGAAAAAAAAAAAGAAAAAGAAGAGAGACCACGGACTCACACGAAGAGCACACACACACAGACACACATCCAGTGAACCCCCAAAAAAAGACGTGTTCCTTTGGTTTGCCTGTGAAACCAAGAAGGGGACCCTCAAGAAAAGCACTCTTGTACGACCATCTTTGTCGCCACCTGCCGCCCCCCAAATTCTCAGCCGTCCTCCAGCAGTGCCAATGCCTCCGGCAGCAGCTGGGCACTGCCGCAGGCGCTGATGGCCGCGTTGTAACTCACGGCGCTGGGCTCCAGCTCCAACCTGCCAGCGCATGACACACAAGACCTACACGCCAAAAGCTGGGGGCTTTGAGGACGGCCGGTGCCCACACGCTACGCCGCGGCCTGGAAGAGAAACCAAGAAAGGAAACAGCAAGCCAAACTAGAGACAAATTAGGAAAGATTGAAGGGAACCTGCAAGTTCATTGACAAAGCTGCACGTGTGGTCTTCCTGCCCTGCAATCTTACCACCCTACCATCCCAAACCCAACCAAATCTAACCAGTCCTTTCCCTCGCCCCCAATCCACGCTGCGCCTCATCTTGCTCCAAGCCCTTTGCTTTTCCATGCGCTCCTCCCCCTCCCCCCGCCCTGCCATGCCCCTCCTCCTGCCCTCACCCACCGTCTACCCCCACCCCACCCCCCCCGCACCAAGCGAGGGCCTCAGCATCTCCGCCAGCAGCAGCAGCGCCGGCACCCCCGCCCCCGACTTCTCGCAGGCGCTCAGCGCGGTATTGCAGCACAGCAGCGAGCGGCTCCGCAGCGCCAAGCCCAGCGCCTGGCCGAAGAAACCATCGATGGGCTTACCGCTGGGAGAAGGAAATGAAGCAAAAACCCAGCCCCAAAACTGGCCCCCCACGTTGGTTTGCCATGCAAAGTCACTCTGTGATGGGCTTTGATCAAATCGCAATAGCAGTCAAAATTCCTGCCACCAGCAAACCACGTGGGCAATCACCGGATTTTGACTGCAGCCAAATACCACGAATGAGGTATGGTTCCCTCTAGGTTTTACATGATGGTTTTCACTGATTACCTGTTGTAGGGGCAACTGGACGCGGCGTAAGCCCAGCACGGGCGCTGGTTGGGGTCTGGGGGGGTGTGGTGGGGAAGGTTTCGGGTTGGTGGGTTGATTGACTCCATGGAAACGTTTTCAACTCGTCTGGGTGCGTATATAGGCCCTTAAAAATGGTTGTCCAATATTAGTGGGTCCCTGGTGAACATCCAAATAGGTGGCAAATGGATGTTCATCCACCCCAAAATGGTACCATTGGCGTTAACCCACGGCCATATGTTCGACCAAACATATCGAAGGCCTGCTGCCACTCCCCTGCCGCCCCGCAGGCGCTGGCGGCGGCAGCGCATGCCTCCGGGCGTGGGGCGGGCAGGCCCCGCAGCAGGCCCAGGGCGGGCTCCCACCTTGGACTCGCAGCAGGAAGAGGTTGGGGGCTGGGCAGTTGGGCAGTTGGGGGGGAAGGTGCCAGAGAGGGCAATGGCTCTTCGGCAGGCCACATCAAGAGGGTGTTTGCGCTATGAGTCAAGGAGTTGATGCGCCGCCGTGCGCTTGAAGTCAGTGACAGCTTTAGGAGAGTGAGAGCAAAACAGAAAGGCAGCACGCGGGAGCCAAGCACGACAATGCCTTTGCCAAGCTATCCTGATTTCCAATTGATGAGCGTTATTGCCGTCAATGGATTCACCAACACAGTCATGAGGATGACTGATGATTCTATGGTATGACTGGCTGTAGGAGGGGCATTCAGCCGTCAGGTTTTCATTCGCGGCCTGCTGTTCGCTGTTGTCAAAAACTAGGGCCCCTTTAGGGGGAAGCTGACATGGTTCATCAGGCGTCAATCAGGGTTCACATCCCCATGTTCCCTGTTGCTGTTCTATCCGAACTTGCCGCGTGGTAATGGCTTCACATTTTCAAAAAGGACCTATGAGAGAAGGGGTGGGTAAAAGCGAGATCCACCCTCTTACAGCGGGGGCATGTTTGGGCCTGTTCCCGTCAAGTTTCATCCGGATGGCTTGGTCAACACTCGAAACATCTCGTGTATCAGACTGAGAGCTGAGCTGTCACTCCATTCTTGGCAAGAGCCGCAGCTTCTGCGGTTTCTCAAGGGCCCAAAACCATCCAAAGAAAGCATCGATCGCCCATCCGAAAACGTAAGGGAAAATGTCAAGCGACCCCTGGCCTTGGCCCCAGGCCCAGATTTTGATCTATGGATAGTCCCTAAAAATTAAGAGGGCGAACCGCCATCTGTAGGAAAGCCCAGCCGCAGCGCCGCGCCCGCACAGGCGCCTATGGCTGCTGTGCGCGTAAGGCTCTCCGGCTGGGTGTGGGCCTGACGGCGACAACTTCCCGAATGTGGTTCCCCTTGACCAGGCTCAGTTCTGCTTGGACCAAACAGACCCAAACAGAAATCCTGTCACTCGAAGGAGCTCAGCGGAACTGGAGAGGAGGGAGTGGAATGGCCAATGGTTGGTGAATTCGTTGAGCATGAGCAAGATTCTCCGATTCCAGGCTAAGGCTATGGGACTCAGTTTTGCCCTCCATGCAGCGCCTTGCAAGGCACCAAAGCAAGAGCCATGGCAAAGCCAAGAGCTTCTCTATGGCGATGGCATAAACTTCCAAATATCTGGCAGCAGCTGGCTGGCTCTACCCAATGGAAGGGGCGATGTTCCTTAACGCTCACACGAAGCCACGAATTATGACGGCTCGCTGACTTGGTGTCTGACTGTGACTGACTGACTGACTGACTGACTGACTGACTGACTGGCTGGCTGGCTGGCTGACGGACGGACGAACGGACGCACGCACGGACGCACGGACGCACTCACGCACGGACGCACGGACGGACGGACGGACGAACTGAGTGACTGAGTGACTGAGTGACTGAGTGACTGAGTGACTGAGTGACTGAGTGACTGAGTGACTGAGTGACTGAGTGACTGAGTGACTGAGTGACTGAGTGACTGAGTGACTGAGTGACTGAGTGACTGAGTGACTGAGTGACTGAGTGACTGAGAGTGACTGAGTGACTGAGTGACTGAGTGACTGAGTGACTGAGTGACTGAGTGACTGAGTGACTGAGTGACTGAGTGACTGAGTGACTGAGTGACTGAGTGACTGAGTGACTGAGTGACTGAGTGACTGAGTGACTGAGTGACTGACTGGCTGGCTGGCTGGCTGGCTGACTGGCTGGCTGGGTGACTGACTGAGTGACTGACTGACTGACTGGCTGACTGACTGACTGAGTCACTGAGTGACTGAGTGACTGAGTGACTGAGTGACTGAGTGACTGAGTGAGTGACTGACTGGCTGGCTGAGTGACTGACTGGCTGGCTGGCTGGCTGGCTGACTGGCTGGCTGGCTGGCTGGCTGACTGACTGACTGACTCACTGACTCACTGACTCACTGACTCACTGACTCACTGACTCACTGACTCACTGGCTCACTGGCTCACTGGCTGACTGACCAACCGACCAACCCACCAACCAACCAACAGACCCCCGCAGACCGCCCCCTCCCCCCCCAGCCATCCAGCCGTCAGCTTGGCCTCAAAGCGCTCCAGCAGCTCCAGCGCTGAGGGCCACTCCCCCGCATCTCGGCAGGCCCGCATGGCCGCCGCGAAGGTGTTGGCCTCGAGATCTTCCGACCGTCTCGGGTAACCCAGGGGGGTTCTCCCCTCTATGGTTGCAGGAAGCCAAAGGAAAGGCAACCACCTGAAGGAGTCCCTAATTCTTGAAAAACACCTATGTACCTAGAGGTAGAAGTATATGGGAGCTTCTAATGCTGGACCCTTTGGTTGGCATTTGAAAGGCAACAAAATGGAAATCAACCATTTTAGGGGATCCCAAATTTTGAGAAACACCCATATGGCTAGCTACCGTTGTGGTAACTGAAAGCAGTTTGTGAAGGAGAGAATCCGAGGTTGATCAACCAATCTATCAATGACTGGGATTGGTGTCGTACCACCGCAATACAGGCAAAGGAGTCAATATTGGATCTCCTGCTCTGGAGCACAGACGGTGAGGCCAAGGATTACGTACGAACAATCACGCTACTTCTGTTCCAGCAGTGGTGGGTTCAGCTGGTTGCACAAAGCCTCATCAAGCTAGAAAGGACAGAATGTAAAAAGTTACATTGACGGAACAAACCTCAGAGCAGTCACAAAACAAAGCAACACCATCAGTGCAAGACAAAAACAGGTCCCTCGCCCAATGTCCCCCCGCCCAATTGCCCCGGAACCACACTGGATGTGTCAGAACCAGTTGTGCATCCAGAATAGCAAACTGCCCTCCATGATCGTTGCAAGGCCAACCAGCCCCCCATGCAACCAGAAACCTTCCAAGGCAGAGGCTTGGAGACCCAGAAGGCGGTTTTCTTGCCCGGGCCCCACTTTGCCAGAGCGAGCCACGTCCCCCATCTTCTTCTCCTGCATCGACCCCAGCAGCGCAAGGCCTTGTTGCCACTCCGCACATCTCTCCTTGGATTCAGAACCCTGCGCATAGATAGGGCTGATAGATAGATAGATAGATAGATAGATAGATAGATAGATAGATAGATAGAAAGACAGATAGATAGATTAGATTAGATTAGATTAGATTAGATTAGATTAGATTAGATTAGATTAGATTAGATAGATAAGATAAGATAAGATAAGATAAGATAAGATAAGATAAGATAAGATAAGATAAGATAAGATAAGATAAGATAAGATAAGATAAGATAAGATAAGATAAGATAAGATAAGATAAGATAAGATAAGATAAGATAAGACAAGATAGATAGATTAGATTAGATTAGATTGGATTAGATTAGATTAGATAATACATAGATAGATAGATAGATAGATAAATAGATAGATAGATAGATAGATAGATAGATAGATAGATAGATAGATAGATAGATAGATTAGATAGATAGATAGATAGATAGATAGATAGATAGATAGAATAGAATAGATAAGATAAGATAAGATAGGATAGGATAGGATAGGATAGGATAGGATAGGATAGGATAGGATAGGATAGGATAGGATAGGATAGGATAGGATAGGATAGGATAGGATAGGATAGGATAGGATAGGATAGGTAGGTAGATAGATAGGATAGATAGGATAGGATAGGATAGGATAGGATAGGATAGGATAGGATAGGATAGGATAGGATAGGATAGGATAGGATAGGATAGGATAGGATAGGATAGGATAGGATAGGATAGGATAGGATAGGATAGGATAGGATAGGATAGGATAGGATAGGATAGGATAGGATAGGATAGGATAGGATAGGATAGGATAGGATAGGATAGGATAGGATAGGATAGGATAGATAGATAGGATAGGATAGATTAGATAGATTAGATAGATAGATAGATTAGATAGATTAGATTAGATTAGATTAGATTAGATTAGATTAGATTAGATTAGATTAGATTAGATTAGATTAGATTAGATTAGATTAGATTAGATTAGATTAGATTAGATTAGATTAGATTAGATTAGATTAGATTAGATTAGATTAGATTAGATTAGATTAGATTAGATTAGATTAGATTAGATTAGATTAGATTAGATTAGATTAGATTAGATTAGATTAGATTTAGATTTAGATTTAGATTTAGATTTAGATTTAGATTTGGATTTGGATTTAGATTTAGATTTAGATTTAGATTTAGATTTAGATTTAGATTTAGATTTAGATTTAGATTTAGATTTAGATTTAGATTTAGATTTAGATTTAGATTTAGATTTAGATTTAGATTTAGATTTAGATTTAGATTTAGATTTAGATTTAGATTTAGATTAGATTAGATTAGATTAGATTAGATTAGATTAGATTAGATTAGATTAGATTAGATTAGATTAGATTAGATTAGATTAGATTAGATTAGATTAGATTAGATTAGATTAGATTAGATTAGATTAGATTAGATTAGATTAGATTAGATTAGATTAGATTAGATTAGATTAGATTAGATTAGATTAGATTAGATTAGATTAGATAGATTATTTAGATTAGATTAGATTAGATTAGATTAGATTAGATTAGATTAGATTAGATTAGATTAGATTAGATTAGATTAGATTAGATTAGATTAGATTAGATTAGATTAGATTAGATTAGATTAGATTAGATTAGATTAGATTAGATTAGATTAGATTAGATTAGATTAGATTAGATTAGATTAGATTAGATTAGATAGATAGATAGATAGATAGATAGGATAGATAGACAGACAGACAGACAGACAGATAAGATAGAATAGAATAGAATAGGATAGACTAGATTAGATTAGATTAGATTAGATTAGAGTATATAGATTAGATTAGATTATAATAGATTCGATTGCCTTAAATTAGACTAGATCGGGTAGATAGATAGATATGCAGATAGGCAGAAGGCAAATCGATGGGTGATGGGTAAGGTAGGCAGGCAAATAGGCAGATAGATGGACGGGTAGCTAGGTAGATAGGTGGAAAGAGAGAGAAAGAGGGATAGATAGACAGGTGCGTGGGCGGGCCGGCGGGTGCTCGGGGTAGGTAGGTAGAAAGATACACAGCTAGATAGGTAGATACGTAGGAAGATAGGTAAACAGAGTGGGATAGGTGGATAGGTGGATACGTGAATAGGTAGCTAGGTAGATAGATTGGCAATTATCAGCATAATATGTCGATAAATTTACATAGAGATTCTTTGGAGGACGTCGGTGGTGAGAAGTAAAATAATGATCATGAACATGATTAAAAACTAAACACACAACACCACCATATTCTAAGTGCAAAAACTAAAACGAAGTACCAAAAGGACGTGCAAACAGAACAATGCAACAATGCACTCTAATTGTCATCAGTTGACTTTTCTAAGAGGCCGAAATGTGAGAGATCCATTGCCCTCTGCCTGCTTCAGTAGGCTTCAACCAAGAATGGCTCCCCCAACGCAACTCCCTTGCCTCCCCACTTCAACAAGTGTCCCAACCCCAACCCCCCTCACGTCACATTCCAACGCGACACTGGCGAGGCGCGCAGGCTATGAGCACGGCGTTGTAGGTGGCCACGTCCGGCACCAGGCCCCGCTGCTGGAAGTCCCCCACAAGCGCCAGCGCCTGAGGAGAAAACACAAAAGGACACCAGCCTTGCAGCAAACTGATAGGCACCGAAAGGCGCACCCAAAAGCACAAGCCCAGGTTTTTTTTGGGGGGGAGGGTGTGAAGGCAAGGCCCCACTCTCATGTGTGTTTTTGCCTACATCAACCCCATACCACCCCCACTCCCCCCTCTCACCCCCACCCACCCCATCCATGGGGCCTGCTGCCAGTTCTCCCCGCAGGCGCGCACCGCCGCGAAGCGCGCGATGGCGTCCGGCCGCAGGCCCCTCCCCTCCGCCGCCGCCAGCAGCTCCAGCGCGCTGCGCCAGTCTCCGCCGTGGCCGGAGGCCACGATGGCCGCGTTGAAGGTCATCAGGTCCTGGGGATTTTTCGTTGTCTCAAACAAAAGATAAAGAAATGAACACCGCAAATAGGTCCTGGCAATTGTTGCCTCAAAAAAGAGATGTAATTGTTTCTGTCAAATGAGGCAGGAGGTGGAGTTGGAACCCCTATGTCGAATGAACCCGCAAAGTGGGTTTGTCTTATGGGGCCGGGAACCCTCGAACGGCTGCGAACAAGGGGGACTCTTGAAGTGGGTTTGTCTTAAAATTTGTCTCATGGGGCACCCTGAAAATATCCTTGCCTGCTAGGGGACCCGCAAATGGGCGTGTCAAGGGGTTTCGACACCCACACAAAATTGCATCTGCATTTGGTTGCCCTTAACCAGGGCACCGTCACAAGAGCGACTCCAACAGATGGGACGCGGACCTCAAATTGAGGTGTTCGCCCAACTTAACGAAAAGGAAAGATGTCCCCCGGGTTTTCGGTGGGAGATGTGGGAAAGCCCACGCCTCCCGGCCAACCGGGTCGAGGCGCTGGCTGCAGGCCCTCCTCCGAGAAGCGTGTGAAGAGGCCCAGGACCTGAAGTCGGAACCGACTCGGGAACTTAGAGCCTCGGCTGCCTGGGAGTGAACTCTGAAAACATAGAACAAAAGGCAATAGAAGGATAGCAGGCTGAAATGAAAGGGTGAAACAATGTGGAAGGAAGCAAGTCTACCGTGGGAATGCGACCGCTGGCTCTATTGTTGGAATCGAAACAATGCAAGTGCGAGGGAGTGCTGACCCAAGTCGTCCGTCACCTAACTGCTCCCAATGGGCCAAATGCGAGATTCACGACCCAAGATCCTTTCGGCGCTGTTGATATCCATTAAAACCAGCCTCTCAAGTGGGTATTCAAGCCGCATGCTTGAACGTGGAACGTGGACTTATATTGCTTAAGGCAGCCAAGATGGGTGTACTCAACACTGTGATGTCTCAAAACTGGGGATGTTGCCCAAAGGGAAACCACAAGATGATCCAAGCCGCCTCAGGCCACTGGGACGTCTTCTCACAAACGCTGACCACAGCGTTCAGGAGAAAGGCGTCAGGCCGAAGGCCATCCCCCTGCGCGGGTCCCCGGGCAACTGACTCCCCGACTTCCCAGACAGGGACAAAGGGGGTCTGGAACGGGAACGGGTCATTCTCACACAATTTCGGCTAAGGCTGAGGGTTCTCCTTTTTTGGCCAAGAAGGCGGTCTTTGGCCAAGCGTGAAGTGTGGAAAAATGTCCCCCTGCGGCTTTGCACTCGCCTCCCCCAGGTCTTTCAGCAGCCCCAGCGCCTGCTGCCACTCCCCGGCTCGCTCGCCTCGAGCAGATGCAGAGACCCGTAGAAGAAGAGGATTGGGTAGGGGAATGGGCGTGGAGAAGGAATGTTGGGTGGGGTCATTCCACGCCATCAAGATCAATTACTGGATATCTGCCAGGGGCTCAGAGCAGCGTGCCTTGACTGATGGCATTGGATCGTCAATCTGTCAAGTCGAACCCTGGCTGGAAAGGGAAGGAAAGAGAAGAAGGCCGGTCCCATCCCCTGAAACTGCCCCCATTTCAGCGACCAAGCGGCATGCTGCCACGGCTGACGTGTACCTGAGAACTGTCGAAGGCGGCCCGACACGTCAAAGGGCAGCGATCCGAGATTGAAACGATCAAATCAATGGCCAAAGCACAGAACCTGAGGGGGGGGGGGAGAGTTCTTGCTTGTCGGGAATAGGGAATGATTCCTCCCAACATGGACCCTTGTAGGTAATGGTCCTGGTGGGCTTATTCCCATATTGCCTGCTAAGATGCCTTGCATTGGACGATGCCATCAATTGTCAACTAAACTGAACAGCAAGAACATGGCTTGCAGTAGCTTGCCCTCAGCCATCTTGATTCCCCCGCTTTGCTGGCAGGAAAGTTAACCGACCTACCTCCCATTTGCTAATCCACCAACTCATCAAGCTACCAGCTCGCCAGCCCCGCGGAATAAAGTGACGATCGCCAACTGTCCCCTCTTATCAGTGACTGGCCAACTAGCCGGCTCACCAAGGACTGATGCCTGAACATACACGACACTTCGCTTCTTGCAAAATGTCTGGATCATTTGAGATTCATCCTAGAGACCTGCCGACTCCACCCCAACCCTCCAGCCCAACCCCCTACCCCCCAGCAAGCTACCGTGTTGAAGGGGAGCTGGCGGCCTCCAAACCCCAAAACCCCAAACTTTCGGCTCGCTCCGCCAAAGCCGCGCTATGACGCTGGGCAGGCGCCGCTCCCGAGCCATGCCCAGCTGGCCCAGCGCCTGCCGGAAGGCTTTGGACGGGAGAGGGGGTGTGGGCTGGAGGGTTGGGGTGGAGTCGGCAGGTCTCTAGGATGAATCTCAAATGATCCAGACATTTTGCAAGAAGCGAAGCGTCCTGTATGTTCAGGCATCAGTCCTGGGTGAGTTGGATGGCTCCATCAAGGCCCTTGACTTTGAACTAAGCCGCATTTGTGGCTGAGGCTGACAGGCTGATGGTTGAGTCCAGACCAAACTTTGCGAGTTCCCTCCTATGGATCAGCTCAGCACAAGCCAATGCACACAATCAACAGAGCAGTACTTGAGATACAAAGCCATGTCAAGAATTCAGCTATTTCAATTCCATCAAAAAGACCCAGAGAAATACCTCCATCCTCTCACGAACCATTTCTCATCATTTTTCAGCCAGAATATTTTTTTTAAAAAAAAAAAAAAAAAAAAAAAAAAAGCGACGAATGTTCTTCGGGATTTTTCCAAACACCTAGTTCAGCCATACCGCCGAAATCGTGGGGAAGCCCATCTATTCGCCGGGGGGGACGGGTGCGGGGGGGACAGGGGGGGCTTCTCCCTGCTTCCCCACCTCGCGCCAGGCGGCCGCGGAGGCGCAGGCACCCACCGCGGCGCCGTAGGAGACCACCGTAGGGGCCAGCGCCGCGGCCTGAAGCAACGGGGCGTTCGGTGTTGTTTTATTGGACTTCTTGTTTACTTTATTATTATTAGTATTAGTATTAGTAGTAATATGATTAATGTTGATTTTATTATTATTTGTATTACTGTTATTATTATTCGTATTAGTATTATTATTATTAGTATGACTATTATTATTAGTATTATTATTATTTTTAGTAGTATTAGTATTATTATTATTAGTATGACTATTATTATTAGTATTATTATTATTTTTAGTAGTATTAGTATTCTTATTATTAGTAGTAATATTATTCGTAGTATTAGTATTATTACTATTAGTATCAGAATGGTATCAATATTATTGTCATTATTAGTATGAATATTAGTATTAATAGTATTAGTATTATTATTTTTGTATTATCATTATTATTAGTAGTACTATTATTATTAGTATTACTATTTTTAGTAGTATTAGTATTATGATGATTAATACATTTAATATTACTATTATTAGTAGTAGTAATAATAGTATTATTAATAATATTATTATTAGTAGTATTAGTATTATTAATAGTATATATATATTATTATTACTACTAATATTATTATGAGTAGTATTAGTATTAATATTAGTAGATTATTATTAATCGCATTAATATTATTGTTCTTATTAGTATTATTATTAGTAGTATTAATATTATCATTATTATTTTTAGTATTACTATTATTATTAGTATTAATACTATTAGTATTAGTGTTTATTAGTAGCATTAATATTGTCATTATTAATATTAATATTATTAGTAGTATTAATATTATCATTATTATTCTTCTTAATGTTATTATTACTAGTAGTATGAGTAGTATTAGTAGTACTATTATTAATATTATCATTATTAATAGTATTAGTATTATTGTCATTATTAGTATGAATATTAGTATTAATAGAATTATTATGAGTATTATGATGAGTATTTGTCTTATTATTAGTATTAGTATTGTTAGTAGTAGTGTTATTAGTATTAGTATTATTATTGCTGTTATTATTATTAAAAGAAGTAGTAGTACTAGTAGTAGTAGTAGTAGTAGCATTAGAACTATTATTAGTATTACTATTAGCATTCGTATTCGTATTATTATTATTCTTAATCTTACTATTGCTATTTTTATTATTTGTATGTATTATTCATTTATATATTTGCTTTGTTGTTTTTTTTTGGGGGGGGGGCTGGGGTTTTTGGGCTTTCCTTTCGGGTACTGTCGGTTTGGCGGTTTGGCAGTTCTGTGGCTCGGCAGGTTGGCAGGTTGGCAGTTTGGTGACTTGATGGCTTGATGATTTGATGGTTTGGTGATTCAAGCACAGAAGGCGTTTTTGTGTTAGGTGGCGCTTGAGTGTTGGGTGGATACGTCTGACCCCAATCCGCCCCAGGCCCGCGCCTCGGCGTCCCCAAGCAGGAGCAGCGCCTGCTGCCACTCCCCGAATCGCTCGCAAGCGCTGATAGCAATATTGTAGGTCACCATGTTGGGATCCTCAGCGCAGACCAAAGAAAACGAAACAGAAGCTGGCTGAGCCCCAAACCTCCAAAAAACGAAGTTCAACGCATTCTTCACCTTGAGTTTAGAATCATTGCGCGCCCAACACCTGAGGCCTTCTTGGATGTTTCAATCACACAGCAAGCAGAAAAGTAACCATGCTTCTGTCAACCTCCTGTTGTCCCAAGAATAACCAAAGTCATATTCTACTAGCTAGAAATCGAGCAAGCAGCGCGGAGGACACAGGCCTTCAAATGAAGCCACTGCGCAAACCCGCCCATTACGAAGTGGTTCTTTCCGAATTTGGGGGATGCCTGCAAAAATGGAGGAACAGGTCCCAAAAAACGACAGCCCCAAGCCAACCAACCAACCAACCAACCAACCAACCAACCAACCAACCAACCAACCAACCAACCAACCAACCAACCAACCAACCAACCAACCAACCAACCAACCAACCGACCCCCAAGTTGCACCTAACTTTCCGCCCTCAAACGAAACCGGGCCACCACTGCCCGCTGCGGTGCGTCTCGCAGCAGCGCCAGCGGCTGCTGCCAGCCGCCACCGATGCAGGCGCCCAGGGCAGTGGTCAAGGTGATCACGTCCAGCGCCAGCAGCTGCTCCTGGCACTAACCAAACCAACAGTGGTCCCGTCTCAGTCTTGACCATGCGATCAGTTTCGACACAAAGCTTCTCGTGGCCAAGAAGAGGCATGCAAGGAAACTTGTACTTCTTCTCAACAGAAATTGGAACATCCCAATCGCTCAAAGGCCCTAAGACTACCAGCTCACATTGTCGAACGCAAGTTGAGCTTGTCTACGACAACGCAACAACTTGTTTCTAGTTATTGCTCATCGAAACATCAAACCCTCCCGCCACTGATGTTCAGTCCGCTTAGGTTTTGGTCCTGATGCATTTTGCCCATGTCTGAATCGTGACCGATGCCCTGTTTGTTTTCTTCGTTCACCCGGCCCCTCTCTTGATGGCCAACAGTCGGCAATCTAGCAACACTCCAAACGTCAGAGATCGGGAAAAAGCATGGCAGTTGGAGAAGCAATGGCATGGAGACTAAAAGAACCGACACCAAAAAAGCTGTGAGGTCAAGGGACCGCGCGTGCCAGTCAAGACTTGTGTGGGAAATGGTCGCGGTAGCCCTGCTAACGTTTTAAAGGGTTTATGACAATCTGTATCAACTTCAAGATTCTCGCGGTGGTTGTCAGGTGGTTGGACCTCTGCACCTGTAGCAACCAAGCATCCAGTTGCCCCAAGAACCACCCTTGGCATTGGACTGTTCCTCGCACAGAAATGCATCCACCCTCCCATCCCCCACCCCACCCCATGCCGCTTACCCACCTCTACCACCTCTGCCACCTCACCCCCCTCCGCAGCCTCAGCATCGTCTAGTAGCTGAAGCGCCAGCGCCTCAGCTTGAGCAGCAGGGCTCTTCACGAAAGGAAACATCCTTGGAATGAACGAACAAAGCGCCGAAAAACCCGATGTGGCTGATCTCACAGGGCCCTCCAATCACAAACCCTCAAAACCACAAGCAGACCAGCCCGCGCGACTGCAAAGGTACTCAGCATGCTCTCAAGGAGCACTTCGCATGGCAAGGAGTGCTCAGGCTGATATGCTCTGCTGGTGAGTCTCAATGCTTGATGCGCCACGCTAACGCTCAGATTGCCTGCGTGCCTTGGGTGTGAAGCTGGTAGCCCACCGGAGCGGCCCCGGAGTTTGTCCCTTCCCTACACCAAAGCCAGCCCCGCGCCAAGAACCCAGCGGAAAAATAAAGGGCCTCTTTGCGTCTGGAGCGCCCATTTCCTCTGCTTCTTGCAGCGATTCACCGCCTTGCAGGTGAGTACAGCCAAGCATCCAAAGCCAGCCCTTGGACGGTGAAAGGGTTGGGGGGGGGTCAACTTTGAAGTTACTTCACTCTGGCGGGTCCCCTTTCTTTCCTTTTAATTGCATTTTGGATGTCAGCGGGCGCATGTGTCCTTCAAGAGTGCAGCCTTCTGGGGGCAAGCTTCTTTTGAAGCTTGCTGGCGCGTTTGGTTTTCCCGGCGGGCCGACTTTTTGGTTGCTTTTTGCATGGCAAAGAAGATGTGTCAGCTGATCATCTGCGATTTCAGACTTCAATTCCAGGTTCCGAATTGAAAATGTGCGTTTAACATTGCGAATGGCGAGACCCGAGCGCCTCGAACTGCTAATCATGTCGTTAGGTCTTGCCGCGCTCCTTTGAGCTTCGAACTTCTGGGACTATCTGACTATCCAACTTCATCAGGGAGCCGCATTTGCTTTTGCCAGAAGTGGCCCGCCCAACCGCAAGGCCTTGCCGAAGTCGAAGATGTTGGGCTTGGAGACCTGGCCACTGTTGGAAGGCGCCCTTGGCTTTGACAAACCACCAGAAATCCCCGGCTTCGGGCGGAAATTGGGCTGCTTTGGAAGGACATCGGTTGGAAGACAATAAAATTCGAACATATTTGGGACCCATTTTGAGCCAAAATTTTCAGCAGGCAGCCCATTTTGAGCCAGCCCCGCCTGTGTGCCCAGCACCTGCTCCAGGCGCGTCGCCATGGCGCCCGGAACCGCGGCACAGCTCCGGCGAGCCTCTGAGCCTCTCGCGCCTGAAGTGGCTGGAGAAATGCAGCGCTTGACGCATGGAGGGGGTATCGTTTGGGGATCTATGGGCTCCTTGTATTTGGAGCCCTTCATTGTGAATGACATCTCTGATTGACCGAGGTGAAATGCACGCGAACAGGAGTCCCTATGATTCTAGGCGCCGGAGCTTGCCGTCTGACTCTAGCTCTGGAACGATGCGTCACTACTCGCCACCAGTAGCAGCGCTTACGAATGTTCCGTCAGCTCGTACAAAGACAAACCCAGTTGAAGGTCGACACTCAGGATTCCTTGAAGGAAGCAAAGACACAAGCGGCTTTCAATACAGCCACAACATTTGTCAGTGGCCTTGGCTCGTGCTGGCTGTTCAATCTCTGCACATGTGGACAACCCCAAAGCCAGCGCGCAATTATTTGTCCACACGACGCTATGATTGAGCTTTCAAAAACCAAAAAAGAGGCTCTGGCCGGCCGCGGCAGACTCTGAACCCCTGCTGGGCCCCACTCTCCGACCCTCAAGCTGGGAGCTGACTCACAGCAAGAGACGTCACATCCTCTGGCCGGCGGTAGCCCCACTGACTTGGCTGACCGGCAAACTTGCCTTGATTTGCATAAGCCCAGCACATCCTGCCACATTGCTCAGGGAAACTGCCCGCCCATGTCAGCCAATGCTTCATCTGTACACTGCCCTTCGCCCTCAGCCGAACTATTCCTCCACTTCGCAGCTCGGACTGCCCACACACTGAAGCATCGCCTCTGCAGCATTCGTTGGAATACGTCCATCTGAGCCACTCGCATCCGGCGCCGAGCCAAAGGTCAGCATCCCGAACTCCCGCACATGGAACATCTCAATGGGGCCATCTGTCTCAAAGGTGATTTCGTAGAGCTCCGTGCGCTCCTGGGGGCAAGACACAGCAACGAACGGGGCAAAACTGCAGAAAGAAGGATGAACGTTGGGGAAGATGGTGAGCGCTCACATGCAGATTCCTCAGGTCCGCTCCTTCTTAGTGGACACTCTGGTCAGCTTCCGATCTTTCTTGCCCACGATGACGGAATCTCCAGGCTTCAACGAGTCTGCGCGTTGGTCATGAATGCCTGCACATTCCCAGCATTCCCTCAGATGTGCAGAAACCGTACTAACTCGGCAAAGATACTCCGATTGCTCCTGCCTGGCTTTCCAATACAAGGGAAGCTTAGAGAAATGCTTGGACCCCGGAAGCAAAATCCACCAAACCTGGCCACGCAAACACGCCGTTCCCAGAAGGATACAGCCAAGCCGAACGACGCGGGCTTTAGTTGCCCTGCTGGTGGAGCAGAGTTCCGGCCGCTTAGCAAATACAATACGCTGTAGTCCATAACCTGCGGCTCCAGCTGCAGCTGTAGCAAGCCTGCTGCTCTGAAGGTTTGGTAGAATGGCACAACTGCAGCCACATTACGGCTATGACTACTGCAGCAAAAGCTGCGAGGACACTTACAGCTTCAGCGTTGCCAGCGAGTCTCAAGACCACATGTCGGAGACTGCAAAGAGATCACCTTCTCAGCATCATGTTCATCTGTGCAACCCTAGGTCACTAGCTTGCGTCGTTGCTACCGAAGTCTATGTTGATGACTGCACAGGGGCAAGCAGTCATGAGGGTTCCCTCACCTGGATGCGGCAGGTCAAGGGCTGTACAAGTCAAGGATGCTGATTTGTTTCGTGGAGGATGATGCCTGCTTTTGGGGCAGCGCACCTGTCCAGCGGCCTATCAAGAATTGTTGACAATAGCACTCTTTACAAAGACATCTTTATCTCCCGCCTGTGCCGTCCGTCACCGCCACGCGGTGATCCTTGGAGATGGTGAAGATGCCCTGATCAGTACTCAGCTCCACCAAGTCGTAGGGCTTCCTGGCAGGGGTTGGGCCACCCCCTTGCTTAAACATGTGTCAACCACTGTTGGCTAATAACAGCCTCCCATCGGTTTACCATTAAGCGCAACCAGAGCCTGGCTGTTTGAACCAAAATCTCGCCCACCCTTCCTGCTGGCCATGTGCTTCTTCACGTGCACCACCGAAGCCTCGGCGCCGTCGGCCAGGCGGACTTGCTGCCCGGGCTCGAGATGCTGCACCCGCAGCAGGTGTCCGTCCGCACCGGGCAGGGCCGTGTTGGGAAGGAAGCACTTGGCAGAGCGGCTGCTCCCGTCGCTCGCCGACTGCACGGCAGGTCTCAAAATTGGGGGTACCCCCTGAGATAGATAGGTGGGTTCCTTTGGCTTCCCTTCTATACCAACCAAAAGGGTCTTGCCGAAAAAATCGAACACTGAAATACACCCGCACCTCGTCTCGGCTCTCACGCTGCCTGGCCGCTTTTGCGTCCCTGTCCGGAAGCTCCTGCGGGAGCGGCACATGACGCAAGGGACATTGCCGACCGACCACGGGGCCAAGATGTCAACCAACCCCTGATCCAGGCCTCAGGAAGACGCAGGAAAACATTGTGGTTTCTTTTTGGGTGGCACTCCGCGCATTCTGCTGATTCAACTTATTTTAACAGTGTGTGTGTGTGTGTGTTGGGCCCTCGAAAGTCTTAAGTCATTCTTGAGAATGCAACTAGATGGCTTTGTTCAGTGCAGCATTTGAGGATGGCCTCAGTTGGAGATGCACGTCGGTCATCAGCTGGAAGTGCATGTGGGGTACGCACACCATTTTCTGCCTCACCATTAAGAAAAGGACTCTGACTGTTTGGGAAAGTCATAGATGCCAATACAACTCAGGGAATGCGCCATAGATAGTAGTGTGCATATAATTCATACATAAACACATGATGGTGCGTAAGTATTTCATATGGTTGGAAACCTTAGAGCATACGTCCCGGGACATTGAGTGTGCCATCAACTGGGGAAACCACAAAATATATAGATGTCCCACCCCTGAAAGGATACCCTCAACAAGAACACAAGGACACAACAATATGACAACGGGCGCTGAATGCAGCAAACATCAAACCTGGGCTGTTGTGGAGGCGCTGCCTGGCCCACCGGCACCGCAAACTCGGCTGCACTCGAAAAAACTCGAAAAAGCAACGGGCCTTGGCGGGTCGCTTGCGCTTCTTGCAGGCTTCCTGAGAAAAAATGGCGAGGAGCATGCTCCCAACAAAAAACTCGATGCAGACCCAGGCCACAAATATGCAACACCAAACTGGAAGACGTAGGTTGCAAGATTGACTAGCCGAAATTTGGCACCGAAAACTATGCCGAGATGATATCATCGGCCAATCCGAAAGGCTCTTCCAACTGCAAACATGCTTACACCACAGCTTCAAGAATCACATCTACAACCTCACCTCAAGCATGCGTCAGTCGCTTAGGTGATGGAACCAGCGAAGGATAACCTGCAGCAATCCCTGAGGATTGAATTGAACTTCGATGAAGCGCACTCAACCTGATTCTGTAGCCGACCAATACGAATATCCGTGTGAAGGATCTGCCGAGGGTATGTCATGCATGTACGTGTGCCTGACACAAATGTCGCGAGCGTCTGCCCACGGGCGCAAATAGGTGCTGCGCGCGAGCGAGCATGTGTGCATGTGCTTGTGCTTACGCTTGGGTGCACGCGCGCACATGCCTTGGGGTCGGCAGTTGACAAGGCAGCAAAAGGCTTGCCTATCGCAGGCAAAGCAGCCAATACGGCATCGAAGGATCCCTTGACATGCGTGATGAGACGCATCAACTCATATATCTCTCGTTGTAGCTCACGCTTCTCCTGATGCAAGGCTTCAGTTTGCTGTGTCTGCTGAGCCTTCTCCTGCATGGATTGCTTCAGCTGCTGCTGTGCAAGCAAGGCGAAGTCGCGCCTGGACTGCTCCAGCTGCTGCTGCAAATCCAGTTTTTCCTGCCGCAAGCCTTCCACTCGGTGTGTTTCCTCATCCTTCTCCTGTGTGAGCACTCCTGGACTGTTCCAGCTGCGGCTGCAAATTAAATACTCCAAGGTATACTTTGCCTGCACTGCCCGCGCCTTGTCCTGCGCAATCGTTGTGAGCTGCTCCTTCAGCTCATCACACTGCTGCTGAAGATTTGCCTTCTGTGCCCTCTCATGCTGGACCTCCGCCATCAGCTCTTGCACCCTCAGCTCTGCCTGGGAAGGCTGAGGGCTCCGCACTTGCTGAAGCGGCAGCAGCGAGACCTCAAGACGGTCCGGGCTCAGCGAGTGCAACTCCAGCTGAGGCGCGCTGGCCTCGAAGGTCGCGGGCACCACCACCGTCTCCCCGGTGTCCGACTCCACCCACACCTTCCACCGCCCTCCCGCCTTCTCCCAGCGCCACCGCACCTCACCGCAACTGCGGAACTCGCCCACCGGGTAGGGAAAGCCCATGAAAAAGAGCTCCAGCACCTGGCAGGCGCCGTCCGCGCGGAAGGTGACTCTCGACACTGCTGTGGAGGTGTTGCCGCGCACCTCGCGGAGCTGAGCCCACGCCTCCCCCCCCGCCGGGCACTTCCGCAGAACGGCCCCGCGGAAGGCCTCCGCGGCCCAGCACTCCGAGACGTCTGACCACAGCTTCCATGCGAACTCTGAGGGGGCCATGGTGCAGCTGCAGGCAAGGGACAGGGGCAACTTCTGAGGCACTTGCTGCAGAATGCCATAACCACAAATCACTTGGCATGCTAGTTGGCAAGAATGCAATTTGGCACAAACTCAATGACAGGAGAGACATCCAAACTGCCTCCGATTTGTACATCTCAAGAACACTTAAACATATTGTGAACATCTATCCAAGCACATTTGACGAGAATAAGCTGCATGCTTCGTGGCACAGTTGGACGACAAGGGTACGGCCTCTTGTAAACCAAGAAGTAGAGGGTCATTCTATCCCTCTTCGAAAGCGATGTAAGCTAGCACAATCAAAGTACTTGGCAAGTGCCACCCCCATCCTGCAAATGCCACCCCATCCAGTGGAAAGGGGAAAACGCCAACCATCGTTGCCAATCAACAGCTAAGCTGCAGCCACTACAGTGTGCATGTTTCCTGATTGAAATTCTCATTGGCTCCTGCTCAGCGGGGATCCTTGCCCCGTGCACAAAGACCCAAGTGAGCCTCTGCCAGCGTGCTCTCCGTGCACCCAACCTGCAGAAGGAGCTCGGAGTGGAAGCCAGCAAACAACGATCTGCAAAAGGTTGAGGCCCGCACTTCGAAAACTAGTGCCACCTGATCATCATGGAACCAATCGGAACAATCCCAAGAGATCCTCTTCAAAGTTCAAATCCCTGCCTCTAGCTTCAAATGACGCCCTTCCCACGGTATACATGAACCATCAGCGTAGCATGTCCGAGTCATAGCTGGCTGCAAGCTTGTGCAAGGGTGTGGAGCTTTCTCAAAGGATCGCCACAAACACGTGCAAGGGAAAGCTCGTATCTGGATGCGGAGTGGAACTTGGTGTGAGTGACCTGAGTGAGATCGTGTAAAGTCACCAAGAGGGCTGTTGGGATCTTGTAAGGTGAGAGATGCTCGTCTCCGCCAGCTGGGCTCATTCCATCACACATGTTTCTCCTCCCTGGCTACCGGTTGAGCCGGTCAACGTTTCAAGCCCCGAATCCTTGACCTGTACAACCTGCGCAAGCCAAACTAAAGATGGTCAACTAGCGAGGAGAACCTGTGTGCTCCTTGGCTAGTCAGGGAATGAATACTTCAAGCCGAAGTTCGAGAAGAGGTTCAAGCACCCGGAGCACCCCCAACAAGAAAGAAGAGGACTCCAAAGGTCTATTCACACATCTGATCTGAGTTTTCCAGGTCTCACGGCCTTCGCCCTGATCCAACCTAGTTTGGAAAAGGCGGTGGCAGGGTCTGCCATCAAAGCGCTTCAGAACACACCCAACCCCCCCCCCCCCCACAGGCGCCTCAAATGCAGTACGGCCATGCCCATCCCGGGCAGTGAACTCTCAGGATCTGTGATTCACTGCGGTTGCACCAGTTTCCCTTCCTGAGTGCTACGCACAATGTACATAGGGCGTCTAATAGAAAGCCTTGTCTGTAGAGGACACACAGCTTCCAAATGTTTTCACCCGGCATTCAACATGTCTATTCGCGCAAAAATGTCTACCAGGAGCGTCCCGAAAGTTCAGATTGGCTCACCCCAGTGCGTGATGCCCCCCTCTTCACAAGACGCGCAATCTGCGAACCCAACAACTCGCGCAGATCTTTGAATGGCTTCGTGACGTCGGCGGATCGGCCAACTTTCAATCAAGGACCCCTCAAACTTTCGGCAAGTTTGACATCCTGCAATCTATGAAGATCCTCACTGGCATTTTCATCGTGTGCTCCTAGATGTGCGCCAGGCAGCTGGTAAAAGCCCAAAGCCTCGGGGCAGGCCGCGAGTGAGGAACCATGGGCATGACACATGACGTGCGCAGACTCAGGACCCGCCATGACAGCACGAGGCACCAAGATGGTCCGAGAGGTGGGCAAAGCGGTGAACCCTGCAAGACACAACTAAACCGAGGTACAAATGCTTGCACGCCCTGATAAGTCTTGTTGCCTAGGCAAAAGTCGAATGCAACGCGGGCAGGGCAGCACCGCAAAGCCCAGCGGCGCAAAGCGCTGATTTTGCACTCGTGGCCATCCGAATTCGTGCATTCCGTGCTTCCGCCGGACGCCGTTTGCCCCTCGCACGAGCGCGGCCTCCTTCGGACAAGCGAGCTTGGAAAACAGCATAATGATTTGTGATTCAAGTTTCTGCCAAAAGATACAGTAGCACATGCCTGCAACGCCATGCCCATTTTCTGTTGGGGGAAACCGCCATCCCCATTCGATCAAGCCAACACTGGCTGGAAGCTGCCGGGATTCCCTCGTCGGAACATTTTACTTTCGTGATATGACGCCCACCAAAGCGTGGCCAAAGGAAGAGGACCTCTCCAGGGTTCAATCGGGTTCCAAGAACATTTCGACGGGAACTCCACATCTGCAACCACCCTTCTTTTCCGGGCAAGAACCCCTGCCTGAAGCCGCTCTCTCAAGTCAAAACTCCCCATGGCCTCGGGACCCACCCTCTACAGTGCAAAGAAAGCCCTTTGCAGCTGGGTGTCTTTCGAGCTCCAGGCCAGGTTTTCCTGTCAACCAAAGTGAGCAGCTGCTTTGATGGCGCATGCCCATGTTCACCTGCCCATATAAACGCTTCGCTAGGCACGCCTGTTGTAGAGGGGCACGGGCGGCTCACCATTTCCATGCCCAAGATCTCCGCAGAACACGTTCTTTTGCACAATAAACACAAGTTTTGGAACTGGACAAGGACAATCCTTTCACCTTGGCATTCAAACTGGATGGTTGAGATGTAACGAATTGCTTCACACAAATGCCGCTCCTCAACATAGCGAAGGTACGCTGAGTTCCTTGTAACAATTGACAAAAGCCGAAACCCACTGAACAATCACAGGGCAAGGAGGAAGCCCACACTCAACATGCATTAAACAATCCCACGGTATTTCTCATGGTCCCAGATTTCCAGGGCATGACATTCTGACCCCCCAAAACCATGCGGCGGCCGGCCACAGCCCGGCACATGGCAAGTGGGAACGCTTGCATGCCGATGCGACGCTCCAGACCGGCTCGGCGTTGTTGCGTGGCAAACTTGTTGCACTTGAGCACAGAAAGTACGTCCAAGGTATCGCTGTTTGGTGGCCCCCAACCTTTTGCTGTGATATCGTAAGCTGCACATGTAAAGAAGCAAATACCAAACCCTCGGATCAACTTCAGGAGGGTACTTGCTAGATTGATGTTCGACGCCTAGTGCGACCCATGGACGGCCTTTAAGCTTGACGTTTGGCTAGCTTTGATTTGGGTTCCAAACATGGGCTAACTGGGCGGTGACCTTTCGGTTTCCGTTTATCACTGAGTCAGTGCCAGGCAGGCAGAAGGATTGAAGCCACAACATTCCCCCATTTGCCGTCCTTCAAATGCCTTCCACACGGACCTCGCAAGCCTAACTGGTTTTTGCCTTAGACTCAGACAGCAATGTTTGCCAATACAATAAAGCGATATTAAATAACAGAGAAAACATGTTGGTTCATATTATGTGATGGAAGTTGAAGCATTGGACATACAACCTATCAAAAGTTGCCATTCACCACTCTTGCTAGTCCATTCAGAACCTTGTCTCCGCGCATAAATGTTTCAGCAACTTCCTCCGCGCCGCATCATCCATTGGCAAAGCGGGGGAGCGAGTGCTTGCGGCATTGGCTCGTAGCTGAGACCCCGGAGCTCTGAACGCGCAGCCAACACTGCGGCTCATGCGAAGGTCGCGTGCAAACATCAACTCATGAGCCTGGTGCAAGTCGTGGGACTGGCACCACAGACATCAACCCTAAGAGTACTTTGGTGATTGGTGTGGTGTTCCGCCGAAGCTTAATCAGATCGCGTTTTCTCTCGGGCTGCAAGGTTTGGAAAGCAGACTAGATTTCTGAAAAGGAAACAAATGGGACGTTCCAATCAGGCGTGATGCTCCAAGCATTGCTCGAGCGTACAAGGGCTTCTGCTTCATATCAAGCGGAACAAGATCCCCGCGAAGAACCCTCGCACATCGTGCATCGTGGGCACGAGCGGGGTGAAGCTCCGCACCGCCAAGCTCTGAGACTCGTCTCTCAGTCGTGCCTCGTCGGGCAAAGTGGCCCAAGAGACGTGCCGCGTCAACACGGCCCGAGTGGAGCAATGAGATTGGTTGCGCAAAGAAGGAGGACTTCGGAGAGAATTCTAAGAGAAGTGCAACGGACCTCGGGAAAAACCAAGGCAACAATTCAGGGGCCCCCTCGAAACAGAAAACTGGAAAACACCTATGTTCAGGGCAAAGACAATTCGGCCGGAAGAACGGGGAGGACAAATCTACGGCTGGCCCTCAGGCGGCTTGGAGGCTCTTGGCATCGCCTGGACAACCCACCCTTCTGCCTGGCGGTTGGTCTCCCTGGCAACTTGCATTTGGTGGCTCGGATTTGGTGGTTTGCTGGCGAGGGAGTGACCAAATTACCCGGGCAACACGAAAGTTGTCTGTCAATTCCGAGAAGCCTTGCCAAGTTTCCCGGCCCGATCGCCACCTGTTGCAAGCCCTTCATGCCAAGCCGACCTTTCAAAGACTTGACAGCTGAGACAAACTTCCTCCCTCTCCGTTGCAAGCCAGTGCGTGGCAGCACTGGAAACGTGTTCGGAATGGGTAGTTGCTGAGGCGTGTCAAAACCTGCTGGGTGTTTTGAGGATATCTCAATTGGAAACTACCACTTGGAGGTCCTCAGCTTTGAAATAGAGCCATGTCAGCACAGCATTTCCTCATTGAGGCCACTCTTTGCGAGGTCTGACCGTCTGGTGCAAGCGTGAAAACCAAAGCGCGGGTTTGACAAAGGCGTTCGTCCAGCAGCTGAGTGACTGATTATCATGTCAAATGCGCATATAGAAGGCACACAAAGCCCACTAAGCACGCCGAGTGCCTTGAACGGAAAGAACGTGAGCCAGAAGAAGCAAAACAAAACGAAACATTAACAAAGCAGCAAAGATCGCAAACGCACACAGGAAAAAGCAACGCGACACAAAAAAAACGAAGCTCCCTTTTCTACCATCCTCTCTCTCTCTCGGCTGCCACCTCCCTCGCCCGCCTGCCGCAATGCTGCTGGGGGCTGCTGCAGCCACTCTGGGCCCCGTGGCCTGGGTGATCTGCCCCGCTCACATTCGGGTGTCACGTTTCGGAGACTGCCCTTTGGGCATGCCAGGAATCCACTGTTGGGGGTCCCCCATGTAGACAACTCCGCGGTTGCTCATCAGGGATTGACTTTTGCAGCACCTCGTTGGTTTGCGGCCTCGTGCTCATGAGCGCTCAGGTGACATCATTGCCTTGAGTTCGACCTTTGTTTCTGCAGGCAGGAGTATGCAAGCACAGTTGCCTAGGTAGCTGGATTATGTTCTTGTTCCGTCTTGTGAGATGATGACCAAGAATTCAGAATATCCACAAAAACATCGAGTTGCACATCCCAACCAGCTGTCTGAACCGATTGATCTGTCTGAAACCCACTGAGACGAGCCCCCAGCCACATGAACCACCCTGGTCAGCCTGCAACCTGCCCTATATATATATATATCCAAATCACGGCGTCCCGTCCCGCTACAAATCAAACTCCCGCGCCAAATGGCGGAGATCCTGAAACCAGTCCGGCAAAGCCCCCGGGCGATGTCTGTACCTGCGGTGCTGCCTTGCGCGCCTGCAGCCAAAGGAAAAGCCAAAACAAACATCAGCTGTGTCTGTCCAAACCTGAGAGACTGGAGTATATTCCAGCAGGGACATGCACAACACACGACTCGAAGTCGACAAGCTTTGGAAGTCGGCCTCGACGCAGTTTTGTGTCATGTGTGCTTTGAACAAGGAGGCAGTGGCGATGCCTAGTGAAACTGTTGGTCAGCATGTGCTGGGGCACCATGCACCTATGCTGGTACTGATTGGTGACTCAGGGCGGGGATTCTCTCGGCAACCGCAGGTTTCTGGGCAGAAGGCAGTCAGCGGGCGACGAGCGACCCAGTCATTGTGGTAGTGGAAGCAAAATTCATCGCGCATCCACGACTGGGAAGCCAGCACGGAGCAATTCCCTTGGGAACCAGTCTTCGCAAAAATCATCAGATCGTGATCCTCCTGCCAAAAACCTTTGTTGTTGATGTAGAACAGTGACCAGTAGTAGTCCCAAGCATTCTTCTTCTCCACATCGTCTTCGCTGAAGTCTTGACAGGATGAATTCATGAAGCCGGGTTCATCCACACATCCGAGGCGACACCCGTTGGAGAGAAACTGACCAGCGATGGCAGTGCTACACTTACAGGTTTCAGGACAAAGCATGCGAATCAAGGGCAAGTCCCTTTCTCCACAGAAGGGCTCAGCGCTGGCACAGTCGCTTGCTCCTGTCAAAGCCGTGGCAGTGCTCCAAAGCCAGTCGCCTTCCCAGAAGTCACGACCTTGGTCTTTACATGTGTTTCCGAACCAGTTGCCAAAGCCGTAGGTGGATTGATCTGCCACTTGAAATTGATCCATGGTCAACCAACCGTTGAAGTCCCTGACCGTAGGGGTGTGTTTGACAGCAACTGCATCGCGGCCTTCCAGAGTTGCCCTCCACATCCAATTTGCGGCCCCAGGTTTGTATATGGCTGACACTTCTTGCAGGAGTGGAAGCATCCCTGGCAGCATCTTGTTGTCCAAATTCCCATCTTCAAAGGGTGAGGTGTCAGTCACAAAGATTGGCCCCACCTTGGTATGGGACTCCATGATGAAATTTTGGTTGCCACTGCAAATGATGTTCCGGACATCTCGAGCCGAGTCAGTGTTCCCAACTACCTCCAGAGACACCAATGCCACCACGATTCCCAAGAAAACCAGCAATTGGAGACTGCTGGTGAGATTGTGAACCCATGCTTTCCTGCTTTGGTTCTCGATTCGCGATATGGAGGTCACAAAACGGCTTGCGTGGTGTGGAGCAAACAGCTCAAAGAAAAGCTCGTCGATCTCCAGGACAAAGACCAAAGAGACTCCATTCTGGATGATGTCGCCAATATTCCGGGTCCGACATAACCAAAGAGCTCCAAAGAAACCCAACAGCGCGGCCAGCGAAGCACGTACTGCCAACACGAGCAGAAGCAGCGGCTTGCGCAGTCTGCTGATGGACTTGAAACTGCGAAGAAACTTGCTTTGACTGGAAGACGAAGGCCTCCCGTTGCCATGCAGCTGGTGCATATCTACCACTAGCGTTGGACCGCTCGGGATGGCCAGCAAGTTCATCATGAGAATCGCAACCCTCTTCAGCTCCTTGGCAATGTAGGCCAACCAAATGGCCACTGCCATGCTGCTTAGGACAAACCCCACTGGCATGTCTTGGGACAGCAAAGGCATCAAATAGTCATCAATCTCGTTCAGCAGTGCATGAGTCCACCACTCCCTGTCGAAAGGTTTGCCGCGGCAGGCACGACTCACCAAGGAGGAATCTGAGTTGGGATCGTAGCCATTGATCGAATGTCCCACAAGCAAACGCCAATCCACCAGCCAGGCAGGATCATACTTTGGATCTGGCAACAGAAAGGCAGCATAGACGACCCAGCAAAACAGAGACTGGGAGAAGATGCTCATCAAAGTTCCGATGGCGACCAACAAGGTGGTTGGGATTCCAAGGCCGCCCAAACCTAAGACGCAAATAGCGTCCCAGAAGGATGCCTCCAGCAGCTGAATGGACCGTGGAGGTTGTGCTGGATCGATAGCTCTAGAGCTTGTTGGAAAACTGTCCACAACTGGCTCTTCAATCTGTTGAATAGGACCTTGACGTGCCCGTTCTGTGAGGATTGCGGAAAAATCCAGGCTGACAAGAGTCTCGCTTGGATGCTTGTCTTCTGTGCCATCCCTGCCAAAGTTTCGTTCCAGGTGGGCCACTCGTGTCTCAAGCCCCTCAAGGTGCGCAATTCGGCGGTAGAGAGCCTCGATCTGGACTTGGAGATCGACTTCATCGGTCCTGTCAGACACAGAAATTGTCTGGATGAGATCTGGTGGGCCCTCGTCGACTGCTAAGCAGCAGGACTCCCTAACAACCTCCATGCCGGCCACAACAAGAAGGTGTGTCTACATCTCAAGGAAATTATATTGAGCCATTGGGACCGACAACATCGTGATTCACACAATAGCGACTGCAGTAGGTGCATTGGTAACAGAGTGGCATGCTGGAATCCGGGCACATCGCTGTGCGGTGGAGGTGTTGTTCTTTCCTAGGGCTGTTGTTTTCCTAGGGCTGGTCCGCAGGCCTGGCAACATCCCCAGCATCACCAGCCGCACTTGGTGCGGGGGTTGCCTATTGGCTCTGGTTTATTAGGGGCTGAGGCTGGCGTAGATCTTCATGAGGGTGGGTCTTGTGGTGGTTTGGGTTGATTTAGGCGAAGCAAAGGGCTGACATCCAGGCTGCTGTTGGGCGGGTTTTGTGTTCACTTTGGGTGGACTTGGGGTTGGCTTGGACTGATTTGTGCTGCGTGTGCTGCTGGCTAAGCGGTGCCTTTAGGGTTGCGCTTTGGGAATGTGGCTCGTGAGTTGTGGGCGAGTTTTGGTGGTTTGGGAAACCTTCAAAACCAATCCTAAACGAGACCAAAACTCAGGTCACCACATCCCGAAAGCAACCCTAAAGGCACCGCTTAGCCAGCAGCACACCCAGCACAAGTCGGCTCCAAGCCAACCCCAAATCCACCCAAAGTCATCCCAAAACCCGCCCAACCGCAGCCTGGATGTCGGCCCTTTGCTTCGCCTAAATCAAGCCCAACCCACCCTCATGAAGATTTGCGCCAGCCTAAAACCCCCCTAACATAAACCAGCCCCCAGCAACTCCCAGCTGCCTCCCAATCAACCCCCGGGCTAAGTGAGGCTGGTGATGTCGGGGATGACGCAAGCCAACCAACCAACCAACCAGCCCGAGTAAAATATGACAGCCCACAAAAAAAATAAGAAGAAAAAAGAAGGGGAAAAAGAAGAAGAAAAAAACGCCGGATCCTCACGGTGCACCTTGCTCAAAAAGATCCAAAGCCAGTTGTGTGTGTCTGTGTGGTGTGCTGGAGATCCTGCGGTCCATTGTGTTCCAGGGATGTCGTGTGCCTCGGAAACTGTCTGGAATTGATCAGCCTCTTTTCGTCTCAAGAAGGAACGACTGCAACATGCTTTCACAGACTGTGTCAACATCTTAGTTTGCGTCCGTCGCTTTTGGCAGCGCATATACTTGTCAAAGTATCCACAAACGCAGGACGAATCACATTCCTGCAAGCAAAGCAGTACACATCAGCAAACCGTGGAGCAAAACCGAATTTCACAAAACCATATTGAGTATTGATTGCTTCATGCCATCAAACACTTTTGATCAGTTTCCGCCGTGCTGAGGAACCATGACTCAAGTATCTTGCTTTCCAAGTCATCCAAGCAAGCAGTGTGACAGCCTGACATTGCTCACCCGTTGAGAGTCCATGATCCCCCGCCGTTGCTGGCGACATCGCTCCGGATAGCCTGAGAAACGTGGCAGTTGGGCCCAGGACTTAGATCTCACTGCCTTGACTCGGGGGGTGCCTGCCCTGCAACGGAAAACCAAGTCGGGTTGAACCTAAGCCCTTGTTCAGACCATTGCCAAGACATCAGCACAGGTCGGACCAATCCTTTTAGAGAGGAGCTCATGCCTGCACCCGATGCTACATCTGTTCTCTCAGAACACCTCTGCACATGTCTGATTGCCCCACTTCGGGCGTGAGGCTGACATTGAAAACCCTAAAGCCCTAAAGAAGCAGAAGTGCGTCAAGAGATCACGCACGTTCATCGGGGTTTGCAAAGGGTCGTCAACCGTTGAGCACATCTTTTACGGTGTGAGGGTCCCGCCAGGCCAGCAGCAGAAGATCACAAGGACGGTCACAAACTCAAAATTGGTGAACCCTGCGTAGACCTCCAGTCAGCGCCTCTTCTTCCAGCTAACCCATCCCCGCGTACATTCCACCTCGCCGCCCCCAGGCTGAAGCCCCCCGCTGCACGGGGATCATAGCGGGCCTCGGGCCAGCTTCGGCGCGCGAGGCGCAGCCCCGAGGGTCAAACCCCCGAGAATCAACGCGGAGCCTCCATAGAAAATATGGCCCTGAGTCAAAGCTAGGTATGCGTGGCAGACTTCCCTTTGGGAGATCCTTTTTTGTAATGTTCAGGGCGGCGAGCTGCCGTTCTCAATGGTAAGTATTAATGCCTTCGTGTGGCTTAGGCGGGTCGATTTCTTGCGTCCCTTACAAACCAAAGCGACCCTGTTTTGAACAACATGCAGTGAGTGTCACATGGAACATATCTGAAGAAAGGCAATTCTGAATGCAAGGGACACACAATGTAATTCCCAACTCGTTCAGCTAAAAGCGCAAAAGCCGCTGCTCGTGCCTACGCCTCTCGAGCACTCTGACGATAGATTTGGAGAGTAAGTCAACATGTCCCAAGCTGCAACACCAAGGTCACTCTCCAATGCCCCTTGGGCTGGATGACGCAATGTCCATTGATGAGATTCATCTGGATAACTTCGTCTTCATGACAAATCGAAGGAACCCCAAATCAAATTAGACACTCCCTGATTCATCTCGTGGGCTTTAACCCAGCGTGCGGCATGGACAAAGCACTCGGACTAAACCTGAGTCACAATCAAACCTAATAGTATGTAGAGAATCAAAAGGGCAGCCGCGCAGCCGCGCCACTCTCCCAAAATAATACCTTTCATCTATGCTGGTTCTCAAAGCGCACCTGAACAAATACGGACGCTCTGGCCGTGAGCCGCTCAGTGTCTGGCTGTACGAAGCCATCCGGACCTCGCTGCATAGTCCGAAAATGAACGATTGGAAGCACGGATGGCGTGGAGGACCGGCCGATATTCATTCACTTCATTGGTTCATGGACACATACATCACGGTCTAACCTTGTGCTGGGTTGTGGCTGCAAATGCTGCTTCTTGGTTTGGGCCAATTTCATGTCTGGCATCCTCTGAACAGCCCTGCCAGTGACCCAACAAACACTGCACAAACTAGAATGTGCATGGGCGTCGTTCACAATGAATGGATATATATATATATATACATATGTACAAAGGGGTGTGTTTACGGAAACATGTACGTACGTGAGTAGTAGTGTATAAAAATATATACTTACATACGAAGATGATGGGTAGGAACTGCCTATAGCCTATATGTATCAATACAAATTATCGCATGCATTCCACCGCAGTAAGCATATCATGCGGTTGCTTCATGTGCGATGTGTAACCGGATCAGGGATCGGGGGGTGCAATGATCGGTTGGTTTCTGTTGCGATTCCTCTCGCAAATCAGAGTCCTCCACCTTAGGAAACACGCAAACGCATCCGGCATCCAAGGGTGGACGACTGCATTGCCTTGACACTGATCTCGTACTGCCATTGCTGCAACTGTAGTGGTCTATCTCATCAGAGAGTGTCACCCAAGTGTGCCTCTAAAACAAAATGGGCCACACAGAGTCAAAACAGGAGGGCGATGAAATCTCTCTTCGCCGTGGCGAACTCAGCAGCCCACAAGCATTCCAGGGAGCTCTGAGTTCTCGCAGGACTCATATCAGATTGTCAACAAAAATAACATAAGGGGACCGCAAGCACGGTACTCCGTTTGGCTTCCTGTTAAATCTCACCTGAAAGGGGCACCAACTCCCACCTCGCCACCCAGGAGTCCTCTGCCCCCCTCCCCCTTGAGCACCCGCACGCACCATTCGCATGGCCGGCTCCACGCTGCGGCCCCGGGAAGCTGCCGGCGGAGAGGTGGAGGCGTTTGAGCTTGGAGAAGTTTCTGTAGAAGGATGGGAGGGATCCGTCTTTTCGAGGCAGGTTCTGCGGAATGTTTAGGCCATGCTGCTTCTTGGACAACTATTCTTCGAGAGGCTTAACGGAGACAAGCAAGCATGATGAAAGTGGCCTAGATAACCCCTTCATGCACATCATGCTTGTCGGGTTTTGTGGCAGTTGTCAAGCGTTGTAGGTCAAGTGACTCCACCCCAGGGACGTTCCAAAAGGATGCAAGACCTGTTGACCTTTCGACCAACACACACACACACATGTAGCACAAAAAACAGAGGTCTTCATTCTCGGAGCATGCATCGGCCAGGCCGGGGGACAGCCACTCTGAGAATCGAACATCCACAAAAAGACCCCCAAAGATAGGGTAAACACCCCCAGTGGTGTTTGTTGGGATGCACCCCTTGTTAACAGATTGTTCAACACTCTCCCTAGTGGTCCCTGTGACTCCCTCTGCACTCTGCTCTGCCCGGAATCGGGCATTCATACTACGGGCCCAACACTTGGTGGGCTTGCTCGCAGTTCCCCCACCATCCAGGGCTTTCCTATCACATGTCATCTTGGCCCTTGGGCATCGCCGGAAAAAGCATCAAATAGAACACGAGCGAGCTCCGCGCATTCAAAGCTCGAAGGCATACGATCTGCTCTTACAACTGCGACAGTGTGAAACTTGTGGGCCTGAGCCCCTTCTCTGAGTGCGAAGGCAAAGCAAAGCAACAGACGGCACATGCCCCGCATCTCTCAACAGAAAATCACCAGAGCCTCCGAGCTCCCGCGGGCTTTGCATGGCCATGGCCTCGTGGCGAAAGGCCATCTGCGGCTCTCTTTGGGGAGAGGTGGTCCCAAAAAGGGACGGCCTTAGCGATTGCTCAAACCGGGAAAAAACGGTGGACGGAGCCAACGCGTCCCAAAGTTGGAAAAGGACATGCGAAAGCAAAACAAAAGACAACAAGAAAAGGTTTAAGTGGAAGCTTAACAGAAACCAATGTGTAATGAAACATTCCTGCATTGCCTTCTTTTTGTTGGTTCAGAATACCAATGCGTTCACCAGGGTATGCCCAGTCCAAAGAAACCTGCATGTCGCGCGTGTTCCTTTTTGGCAAAGGGCGGTTGGGCAGTGTGTGTGTGTGTGTGTGTGTGTTTGTGTGGTTCCTCTTCCCCTCAATGAATTGGGCACGGTCTTGACAAAGGAACGTCTTCCTGCAAGCTTCTTGAAGTGCAAAGGTTCATTGGGTCAAAGCAGCAAACGGCTTCGCTGTTTTTAGGGCCGTCCCATTTCCGCTTGATGGCGTTCGCGAGGCATGTGAAGCATTTTGCCGCTTTCTGGACTTCAAGTCTCTTTGAGAGTCGGCCTTGGTGTGATCAAGTGCAATGGAAGCACACCCTCGAAGGAACTCAAGTGAACCAATACCCTTCTACCCCACCTGACATCAAAACAAAAACTGACACAACCTCTTTGCAAAGGAACACCATCTTAGAGTGAGCGAGACTTTTTTTGTGTGCTCCCCATCTGTTGCAGCCAAGGGGCAATCATGCCCTCGGGCGACATGGCTCGCAGGTTCGCGCGTCCCTGAAGGGAGAAACACATGGGGGTCGAAATATGCACCAGATGTCCATTCCGGGTTGGTCCAAAATGACTGCAACTACAGTATCCAGGGAGGTTCGCCCTGAAACAAAGGAAGGCGCGTCTAATTCATCTGGGAGTTCATCAAATAGAGGTGTGCTTTGCTCATTCCTTTGGGCTGCTTCAAACAACATCCTGGAAGAAAATATATGTGTATGCGTGTGTATAGATGTAAAAGTATAGATGTAAAACTATATTGTGCAATATATGTGGTGAGGATCCCCGCCCTGTTCGGATCAACCTAAAACAACCCCAAACCTGCCCTAAACCAACCCTAAAAAACCCTAAGCCCACCCTAAGCCAATAAGCCCACCCTAAGCCCACCCTAAGCCAACCCTAAACCAACCCGAAACCAACCCTCAACCCACCCTAAACTATTGTAAACCAACCCTAAACCAACCCTAAAGCAACCCTACACCAACCCTAAACCAACCCTCAACCAACGCCACACCAACCCCAAACCAACCCTAAACCAACCGTAAGCCCACCCTAAGCCAACCCTAAACCAACCCAGAAACCAACCCTCAACCAACCCCACACCAACCCCACACCAACCCCACACCAACCCCAAACCAACCCTAAACCAACCGTAAGCCCACCCCTAAGCCAACCCTAAACCAACCCAGAAACCAACCCTAAACCCACTCTATACCCACCCTCAACCAACCCAAAACCACACCCCAACCACAGGACCACAGACCACAAGGAGGCTTCTTGTGGCAACTGCGAGTGTGTCAATATCAGAAGAAGACATCAGAATACTCATTTAAGTACTGTGTTGTTAAACGACACTTACCTGTTTGTGTACTTATGTTTGTCTATCTGTCTGTATATCTATGGCTGCATATATATATATATATATGTGCATGTGCGTTTGTGTGTGTGAGAGAGAGCGTAAAACTTATGAGTATGTTTATGTATATGTGTGTATATGTGCGTACGTGCATGTGAATGTAAATGTGTATGTGCATGTGAATGTGGCTGTTGGTGCATGCGTATGTGTATCTGTATTGTATGGGTATGTGTTTCCATGTGTGTGCATGTGGCTGTATGTGTATATGAATCTGCATCTATCTGAATCTGTATATGTATATGAGTATGTGTAATGCAATGCAGCGTAATGTAATGTCATATGTATATGCTTGTATGTGTGTGTGGGGGTTGTGTTTGTGTATGCGCATCTGTCACACACACACACATTCTGTATATAAGTATCATCATATAATTAGAATCATAGTCATAGTCATATTCAGAGACATGCCATATACAGTCAGAGTCATATTCATATACATATACACTACGCATATACACATGTGCACTTGCATGCAGACTCATTCGTCCGCAAATACAGTTATGACAGAGCGTGCAGCTAGATGCGAGCATTGCTTCGATCTTGCGCCAGCAATGCGTGGCGTTACTGCCCTTCCCCGCCTGTGCCGGCTGCGGCACCCAGGGTGCTGGCCTCAAGGCGGACCCAAACACGAAAGGGTCTATGCGAAGGGGTCCCTAGTTTTCAACACATCCACTTGCCATGAGGGCCGGGGGTCAAAATTCCTGAAACTGAACACCGTACAGCCCCAAACAGTACCTCTGCAAAACGTGGATTGTGTCGGTGGACAACCTGGAAATCTGAAATGAAACCTTCCAGCCATCATGCTGAAAGCTACCTCTCACACACAAAAGCCTCTACATTGCCTCTACTAAGTTACTTCTTTGGGTCGTGTTGCACATTGGCAGGCGACCAACGCCGGCTCCGCCTCAGCGAGGTCATCGACGCCGCCGGTGACATGGGCCGCACCATGCAGGGCGAGGGCGAGCGCAAGCCTCAGGCGACAACCCGAAGCGGACCTCGCTGCGGCCGTAGCCGAAGGCCACATCTGCCCGACAACTCGGTGAACGGAAAGCGGGAAATTGGTCGCCAGCTGGCAGAGTGGGTCATTCGTTGAAGGCGAGAGAGAACCAATCCTAAGAGGTCTTTGACCTATTCTCCCATCGCCAAGATCCGCATGGCATGTAGGTGGAGAGACATCCTTTAAAGGCACAAAGTGTCACCAGGGGCTTCAAACAACTCCCCACAAGCCCCCCCTTGACTCCTTCCCCCTCGTCGCTCCATCCAGCCTTGCTGTGCCTGCACAGGGCCGGCTGGTGCGCGCTCAACCACTCAACCCACACGAACGGCTCCGGATGAGACAGTTGGTTCGTAGTTGATGGGTGGTGATAGCACTTGGTGTCAGTTTGGAGGTTTGGAGGTTTGGTGGTTCGGTGCCTTGTGCCAATTCGAGAAGAAACATGGCCACTGGCGCCCCACCGCGCCTGCCAGTCATGGGACACCTGGCCAAAGAACTTGCAGCGGAGCGCAACTCACCGCTGACGCACGCGCGCAAAGCGGTGTTTCTAACCTTGGGGGCCCAATATCCAGTTGGTGTCAAAGGCGGAACAACCGCAAAGGCCAACCATTTGCGCGGAGCCCAAAAATGAGCCTGGCAGCGCCCAGCAAGGTGCCCGAGAAAAAGGACTCTGACCAACAACCTTCCGTATTTTTCGAAACGGTCCGGATTGTTTTGGACTTCCGTTGTTAGGACAATCCCGCGCAAGAAACTCAGTGGAAACCAAGCAATGCAAAAAGCGTCTTTCCTCCAACCATCAAGCTACACGGCCCCCTTATAACGTCCGCCTGACGTACCACACCGCGGTCCGCGGGGAACGGCCTGAGCAGGAGGACGACTGGCGGAGGCTCTCCCCCTTGCCTTTTTTTGGCAAGCAACAAGAACGAAGCACCAGCATACAGCAAATGCTGCCTAAAGCAGTATTGGGGGATGTCATATGATGGTTGTGAGATCGAGCCGGCATGATCACATGTTGCTCGCGTGCAGGGCAACTTGAAATGCAAATCAAGCCAGTCACGGACATTGTTCTTTGTTCCTTCCGAGGACCTCAGAAAACTGGGTGGCACCTTCTCATCCTCTACAGACTAACAACAGACTGCTGGAACTGCCAATCTCCAAGATGTGGATTCCTGCCTGTTTTGCCCCCACAGCTGACACAACGTCCGGTCAAGACTGTTGGGACCCCAGCCGCACTCGTGGCATCTTCTCCGCCTGAAGCGAGAACTGCCAGGCACTGCCTTCGGGAACCTGGAGTATTGTTGAAGCACATTGCCCCCCAATTCTTTGTCAGAGCAGGGTCTCACATCATCGGGGGTATTCGGTTCTGGTTTTCGTAAGGGAACTCATGATTCCCTCAAGGTTGTGTGGTCGGGGTAAGCATTGCCCAAGAACCATGGTTGACCACCTGTTTCTCGTTACTGATTCTTCTGTAAGTGGCGGTCTTCGTAGACTAGTCCCCAAGTACAAGGGACTTCAAGGGACGAGTGACGAGTTCAAAAGCAGGTCTCACCCCCTGTGTTCAGGATCGAATGTGCAAACTCCAACATTATCAAAAACGAAAAGAGTTGGTTTCCCCACAACAACCCAAAGGTGGTGCGGACCTCCGACTGCTGCCCCCCCAATCAGCCGCCCGCTGCCCCAGCCCCGCCTGGTCCAGCAAGCTTTGCAGCGCCGCGTCCCCGATCTCCAGGGCAGAGTTCTGCAAGGTCTCCTGGACAGCGCAAGGGGTCCAGTCAGCCAGTTGTTGGCAGCTGCTGGTTGGCTTTTTTGTGGCCGCCCAGAAAATACCAAAAAATGGTGGTTGAACCGCTGTGACAGGTGAATCCTGGTCGCTGGGAAGTGCCTAGCACAAAATCTGAGACCCTCCTCCGGGCACAGTTCCCCTCGACCTGTTGATTTGACATTTTGTTTGCCGTTTGGTTTCTGGGACAAAAACCGGTTGGAGAGGGAAAAACTGAGTCCAACAGCTTTAGCTACTTCAACCCTGGACGATTCGCTAACTCCACCAGCACCATCACCACAAATAAACCGACACCCCCTTCCCGGGTTTCCCCTCCTCCACTTTCTTAGCCAGGCGTGTCAGGGTGCTCTCCGTCTGCTTTGTCTGCTGCTTCGTGGCCTCCTCCAATGTCGACCTGCGTCGCTAAAAACAACCTTGAACATCAACATAAGGTTTCAATTGATGTTGACCCCTCATGAATCAACCACGGAGAATTGGGGGAGTGCTCGATCTGAAGTCGGACACTGTGTCTGTTTGTTTGAACTTGGATGATGTGTGCCTTGTAGCTTGCATGCTTTGTGCGTTGGGCTGGCATCAGGTCACAAGCGCAGACAAGAAACTGGAGATAGCTTCAAAAACAGCTTGTTTTATTTGACGCGACTAGGTAGAAATGTGATCTTGCAGTTGTGGCAGCTTGGCGTGCGTGTCCATTGGTCCACTGGGTTGTTGCTTCTGAGGTCTCGAGTCCTTCATTAGGCTCTTGCTGCTTGGTGTCTGGTGCCTTCTTGCTCTGTGGATTGGCAACCTGGCCGCCTGCTTTCTTCTGCTAGCAAAGATCGACGGGTTTGGTAAAACACAAGGGGCCAAATCACCCTGCCACTAGCCCCCTCCCCTGAAGTTGGCTCGGTCCCGGGCAAGCCCTTCTCCAGCTTCTGCAGCACCGCTTTGACGCTCGCCTGTAGCCTCGATGGTCACGAGTCCAACTGATTCACAGGTCACCGTAGTTTGCTGCAAAAGGGGCTTGCATGTCACCTGTCTTATTATATCTTAGTTTAACATATTCTTATGAATTGGCGTGCAGCTTGGGGTGGTTGAGTCAGTGACTGACAGTGCTCGAAGCACATCCTCCAGAAAAAGACTTTGCCGCACCCACCTCCACACTTCTCCGCTGAAATTGCTGCGTGCACCCCTCCCCGCGCTATCTTAAGTCAGACTTTGGTTCCAAGGCGACAAGTCAAGTGGCCAGCACCCAACCTTCAGCTCCCCTCCCCATGGGATCCCCATTCCAAGGCGATGGCTCGGCGGACATCCCCTGGCGGATGCTTGAAAGAACCGAAACCCGACAGGAGCCATATGAAAGTGAGCAAAAAGGGGGGGAGTTCCTGAAAGCTGGGGATCCTCGGATGGCTGTGAAGGAGATGACTTGCCGACTGGTAGATTAGCACGGGGGGGGGGGTGGTCATTGCTTGGATGTTTGTGGCCCCAACACAGCTTCTTGCTTGCCTTTCAAAATCCCCAAACCAACAAACCCATGCCAACCATTCGAGCGCTAGTACACCTGAGAGCCCTCAATACCCCAAAGGGACTTTGTCCTGATCCACAAGCCACTCACTTCGCCCCATATGCTTAGAGTGCGCAAAAACACACGTCATATTCACCAGGGCTCTGCATGATCCGACACTGGATTTGAGCGCAAGTCTGCAAAACTTGCGGCCCCCCGATTGTCCCCCCCACCTCTGCTACTTGAGCTCTCAGAGTCCCCTCCCGTTCATTAAAGGGAGGAGTTAAAGTTGCGCCACTCGGAGCTTTTCTTGTCCCTTCAGTTTGTGATCGCTGAACCCATCGCGGAGCCTCAGGCCAAGCCTGGAGCTTGTCCTCTGAGCTCTGGCTGATGGTCTCCTGTTTGGGTGCTTCCCTCAAACAACGGGGACACAAAACCGAAGGAGATATCATCTTGTATTCCCTGAAGCAAGCTAGGGCTCCCATCTAGGGATCTAGGGAGAGGGGTCAGAGAGAGACCCATGAGGAGAAAACAGACATCCAACATCCGCCGCCGGAAAGAAACTCGAATTGCTTCACACGAAGACAAATCCACCACCGAAACTCTGGAACAACATTCCAAACATCCATGAAGCCTCAAAAGCAACAACCAAAGACCTGGCCTCGTACCCTCTCAATGCGTCCCAAAGACGAGCTTCTTCCACAAGGAGCCCCCATTTCAAGGCAGGGCCACATGTTTCACCAATCGAACAAAACCGACGCTTCGCCTCCACAGTCTGCAAACCTTGGCATCGAGAATACTGAGCTAGCTGAGTGGGGTGGAGTGAGTTAGCTGGTGGGTCAGGTGGTCAGTCAGCACGGATCCCCCACAGAAAGACCAAACAAATATAGGACGACCCCTTGAAGAGTGCGGCAGAGCTCAGGCTGTCGCGTTTCAGCACGTCGCCCGCTGGTGCCTCCAGATGGATGCAATTTGTGGTGAGCTTGGAAATGGATCTTCACACAAGCAATCCATGTCCATTCCCCGAGAAGACAACTGGACATCATCCTTCCCCCAACAAGCCTTGCAATTCCATTGAAGGTTTATGTCCAGTTTTGGGGGGAGGGTTCCAATGGTCACAATTTGCCCTCTTCTTCAAAATCACTCAAAACCCTGGTTTCTGACCTCCAGCCACTTGATTGATGATTCAGATTGTAGTCGTCCCGGGAGCATCCACATTCCCATGTCGAAACTTTGGAAGCTCCCTACGAAGGCAGTCCAAGCCAGTCCACCTACTACCCTGGTGGGTAGGCACATGAAACTCAGGGATATCAATGTTTACACCTGCAAATGCCAGTTCCGAGGCGAACTTGATGCCACCTAAAGGTCGCCAAATCACCACTATCCTACTAGCCAGTGTCGCGACACCAGTCTCCATGTCACCCCTTAAATGCTGCACAATTGCTGCTGTTTTTTTTGGCTAATGCGCAGGACAGAATATTGATTTGGGATTTGTGGATGATCCTCTGGTCGCATCTGTCCACGGCCAGCCACCCAACCCCCCGGGCAGGAGCCTCTCCAGACACCTCAAATGCTCAGATGCCACTGGGGTTGCTCTGTTTACTGGGTTCCCGCGCATCTTTGAGTGCAGCTGTACAAACTTAAAGCCGGGGCATAGCTCAAGCTTCGCAATTTTGAAACCAACACTGACCAAATGAGGCCAGCCAGACCTTCAATCAAACGTTTGTGCCATCACAAGATCAGCGCATCACAAAAGAATCCGTTTGAAAAGACCACCAGTGGATTTCTCCCTCAGATTGAAGTTTGGTGGTCAAGCTGCAGGTGGATCAAGGAGGTGAGTGAGGGACACATACAGATGCTAATGCCCAATCCACTGGCCAGCTATGAGAATCACAGTCCAGGTGGTTCCTGTGCGAGGTAGAAAGGTTTCGAGGTGATGGAAGAAAACCCTTCCTTCAATCGCCGGCAGCCACACGACGAGCCAAAAAGCACGCGCCTTTTCGCCAAGAGGCAGTCTCGACGCGGCGCTGGAGATCCCCCACCTGTGCCTCGATGGGGGGGCTGGGCATGAAAGAGGGAAACAGGAAAAAGACACCCATTGGCTCTCACGTGCCAAACTGGATTGCAATGGCTGTGCATCGGATTACATGCGTAAAGTGTGCCGTCCGCGACCCCTCGCAGGAAACTTCAGGACGACAAGTGGCAGGCCACCCAATCTCACAACATGGCTAGGATCCTGTTTTTTTTTGCATAATCTGCTCTCTCGATGTTTTTCCTCCACCAAGACACACCTTTCATGGTGCCGCCTTCATTTCCACATTAGCAAACTGGCCTGATGGGGGAAAGCATGCGCCACGACACACAGCCTTCAACGCTGTCGCTTCTCCCGGCCTCCAGCAACTGCAGCCGGGCACCAAAGTCCCCCTTTCTGCGATCAGGAGCTTGCGGGGGCTTTGGGGAGACAAAGGTAGGCCCACCCAAAACTGCAAAAGATGCGCGCTATGTCAGAAAGAACAAGGTCGGCAACTGTTCAATTTTGCCTCAGGTGTGACATAAAGGTGCACTTGCTCCGACTCCTTACGCTCCTGAACCCAGGCGTGCATGGAAGCTCAAAAAAATCCGGTCAAAAACAAATGTGGTTTTCATCTATGCAGTGGGTGTCGATTTTGTTTCTCACTGGCTGATTGCCTGCCCCTAACTTCGCAACTCCAGGCCTCCATGGCGGCAAGCGCCGTGTCAACACACTCTGCGTTCAAACCTTGCACCAACCTTGCAGAAACACATGTCCTGCCTTGTGTCAGCTGATTCATGGCATTGGGTTGTCATTCACATCCCCTTCCCAAAGCCAAAGCAGCTGCAAGTTTGACTCTCCGCATGGAGCCTTGACCCAGTGGCTCAGAACAAAGGCGCCCACAAACTTACCACATCCTGCAACGACTGGATAGAACGACCGTCATGTTCAACCGTCAATGTGGTTTGGGTCTTCCAGCATGTTGTCCTGGACGAACTAGTGCGCATGTCTGGATGAAATGACAAGCCGGTCGAATTCAGGTGCTTATGTTCAGTGAACCAAAAGGGAAAACACACCCAAGGGCTAAGAATCTCTAGCGCGAGACATGCACAGCAAAAAATAGAAATCGAGAGTAGCGACACTGGCACCACAGAGGGGAGCCTGCCATCGGCACGAAGAGAGAACGCAGGGAAGCCACAACAGCGCCTGGAAAAATAGACTAAGCCGAAGCGCTGGCGTGGAAGCTTGGCGTCACTACACTGCTCTTTGAAAGGAACCCAACCCATCTCACCCACACACGCGGTATTCTGTCAAAAGGGGCTGCGGCTTGCCCAGTGCCGTGGTCAGCGGGTGGAGCGCCAAGTCGTTCATGGGCTTGCAACTCGGCAAGGATCGCCCAAGACCTGCCTGGGAGGACTTCAGGGGTGAAGGTTTCATGACTATTTGATGCTACGGGCACTGCTCCTAAACAGATATCAAATAACCCAAAACAAAGATCACAAGGTGCATCCCTCCGTCGCCCCTTGTTCTTTTCATTGTTGCGCAGGTGCTCAGGTTGAGAGGCGCACTGCAGTGCACAAGCCTTCAACTCTGAGTGGGCGGATTTCAACACGATGTGAAACATATGTTCTGCTGAGTGAGTAAACCCAGTTTCATCTTGGCACTGAAGTGCCCGGGTTCACAATGCAGAGGCACAAACGTCATTGGATAAACTAACGAATCTTAGCGATGGCGCCACGATGCCTATCATGACATAAGTCACAACTGGAGTGGGTGGGTGAGTCCCAAAAGAACTTCTTGGCTAGGCGCGGTCAAGCAAACCAGGGTTATCCGTCTAGGAACAAAAAATGGCAACAGCGGTTAACGAGATTCACCCGAGCCTATCACAGGGCACATTGAAACCCCACTGCTCCTAAACAGATACCAAATAACCCAAGACAAAATTACGCAGGTGCTCAGAGGGAATACGGAGCCCCCTCTTTAGTGCGGGTTGCGCAGACCTGGACACATGCGCAACCAACGACAAAATCAACATGCTAAGCGCAAACAAACTGCGCGGAGTCTTTTTCAAGGCTGCGCATAGCAGGCGTGGCAACAGGTTGGCCGCTTGGCGGTGCTCTGGCCGCCAAGGTGCGTCTGCTGGGCGGAGAGCAACGCAATTGCTGCAAGAGTCCAGCCGTGTTGGTGTGGCTCTAAAGCGGCGTTTCTGGGCGACGCACAAAACAATTGCCACACGCTGGCTGCAATTCAGCACACACTGCCTGGCGGGCTGCGTGAGCAAGGGTCGCAAGTGAGAAATGCTGGTGGCCCGAATCAAAAGACCCAAGCATTGCTCCGAGGCTTTGCGAGGCACTTGGACGGATGAGAAGCTGAAGCTTGCGCAGCTGGGCACGGAGTTTGTGTAGTTTGGTTTCCATCAAGTGTGTGGTATGTAGGCCTCCCGCACCGGCGGGAACGGAGGACGGCCAAAGCAGCCGCGCTTCACGACCTCTTCTCACAACTAGAACTTCGATCCGACATTCCGCCAGAAGGTTCTCTTCAGAACATCCTCTACATTTCGAGCAAGACAGAACAAAAGGAAGAAGACCTTTAGTTCGAAGATGAAGTGAGGAAGGTCGAAGATGAAGGTTCTCGATCATGATACGCTCGCTGTCTGGGCAGATGCACCAGGTCAGTCGGAAGACATCAAGTTCACCGTCGCCAATGGAGCTAGGTCAACTGGACACAGCATTGGTTTGGAAGCAAGAAGATTCAATGTTCAACAAAGCGCAGTATTGAGGAGTTGAACCCCGTTGTGCTTCCAAGGAACGCACGGGACCCTTGGCAACTTTGACACAAACACGCAAGTTTGCTTCAATCTTCTTTGCTAATAGGTTCAAAAGGGGCTAACGCAGTTAGAGCACACATTACGAGGTGAACCATTTAGCATTTTTTGGAACACCTGGAAAACTTTTCCTTGGCATGATACATGATGCCTACTTACCTTATCAAAAAAACATGCAGGAAAGCATGAAAACCATAGAAGGATACAAACCAAAATGTGAGTTTTTTTTGATGCATGCAGAAGCTTATCCAAAGTGAGCATACCCAAAAAAATGCATTGAATTTTATTGGGCTGGTAAGACACAAACCAGAACTATACTTTCCAAGACAAGATGGAAGGGTGAAACAAAAACAGCCAAGAACAGCATCAGGCAAGCCAGCAACCTGACCAACCAGGCATCGAAATGGAAAAATACTGAGCCAAGCAACAAAAGCACAGTGCTGTTGGTAAGAGTAGTTGTGAAAATCACTAAGTGCAAAGCACAAGTGGCAACAAAAGCACAAAGTGCTACTGGCTAAAGAAGCACCATGTGCTGATCATGAAGAAGCAACCAGCAGCTATGACTCTGTGTCTCTCTCTTTAGAGGGGATTCTCCAAACGAGTTTTGATGCAGCTGAGCTCGCCCGTCCAGGAAACGACCTCGTCCTGCAAAGAATTCGAGAGCTAAGGCCCGTGCCTGCACTATATCGACCCCTCGATATGCTTGCAATTGCCCCGTAGCTGCGTTTCTGCAAGGCAAGCTAAAAACCAGGAAAAAAAAAGGTTCCCCGGCCGAACGACGACGACGACGACCGAACGACAACGACGACCGAACGACGCCGACGACCGAACGACGACGACGACCGACCGACGACCGGGCGACGGCCAAAAGGGGAAACCCGACGCCGTGAGAGTTTTGCAAGGTGCCCTGTTCCACGGGGCACTTCTGGTATCCATGCGCTGTGAATGGAAGTTTTCCGCTGTGTCAGTTCTCATCCGACACTGTGGGAAAACTCCCATGTCTGATAATCATGGCCAAGTTGGCAAGAATGTGAGTTTTCCGCAGTCGGGGCTGCTGCCCCCCACTGCGGAAAACTCCCAAACGCAGACGACCGACAACCCAATTCAACACAGGTGCGCCCTGTGTTGAACGGGAAGCGCTGACGGCAACAACCGAACGACGACGACGACGACGACCGAACGACGACGACGACGACGATCCGATCGACCAACCGACCGACGTTCCTTTGAGGGGGCTCGCCTTGCAGAAACAAAGGCAGCTACGGGGAGGGTCGCGAGACCAAAGACCCGATTGGCGCTCAGAAGAAGGATGTGAAGTCAGGTCCAACTGGCCCCAGCACGCCAAAGTCCAACGCCGATGAGTTCTGGAGGCCTCCACCGGCAGGTTTTCACAAGGTCACCATGGGTCAGCTTTGTCAGAGAAGAGCGCACCAGGGCGGCTGCCGCTTGACTGCCATTTGGAGTTCGTGGTGAACATGCCAGCTGCGCAGTGGCTCTTGGTGCCACGCCCTGCTTTGAAAAGCCAGCTGAAAAGAAGCAAAAGGCAGGCGAGGAGCCTCCGCCTCCGCCTTGGGCCAGGAGTGTGCCGAGGGGTGTGCTGGGGGGGAGAGTGCCTGCTCTGCTGGGGGAGCGGGCATTTTGCAAATCCTTTGGTCTCAGGTCTGCCGAGCTTTCTCGCACGGCTTTCCATGCTTTCAGGGGAGCATCTCCGCAAGGCCTTGCACCTCCTGATTGCGAGTGGTAAGCCGTGACCATTCAAAATACCGCCACCTACGACCAAGGCATGCGAAGGTTCCAGCTGGTTCTCCAGGAGAGGCGCGATCACTGCCCGCACCTCATCAGTCTATGAGCAATTTCCAGCGCTGGAAGCTTTTTGGGTGCGTCTCCTTCTGTGGAACACGACGTTTCAAATCAGCTGCGTTCATCGGATACTTTAGTTCCTCCAGTAGAGAGGTTAGAATGAGGGTACCCTTACTTTTTCTCTAGTCTATTTTAGGGAGCCCTTGCGGTTGGCCCGAAAACCAAAAAAACAAAAACAAACAGACTGCACACCGGGCACACCGGGCGAGCATACGCGGCGTGGCTGGCTCTCGCTCATTTTTGGCGAGGTAAAAAGGGCGCAATTGCCGACGAAGGCGGCTTCGGATGCACCTGGTAGTGATGGAACACAAAATATAGCTGTCCCATCCCTTGTCCACGCGGGCACCCACGACTTGCTGTGAGAGTCCAATCGAAGCATCTTGCAAAAACGCGTTTACTGTCCACAACTGACACGGCGATGCAAACAGTGCAAAACGATCTATACATGCAGTCTGCTGTTGGGAGCAGATCGAAAAACCCGTCTTAGATCGCACATGTGCAACGAATGTTTCAACAAAACTCAACACACAAACTTGATGCATCATATTCCTCCTGTCATGCTTCCGACACTGCACTCAAGCCCTTGCCCGAGCGGCTGTCGCATCAGATATGCGGCGACACACTCTCTATGGAAAAAGTTACCTCTTTGGCTTGAAACACTTCTCGCGCTCTGAAGATTTTGTTAGGGTGCAACTCCAGTTTCTCATAGTTTGCAATGGGGAGCAGCCCGCACCTTGCATCTCAATTTCCCCGTCCATAGGCTCCGCCTCACCTGGCCCCGTGGCATGCCAAGTCCGAGCCCAACTCCACTGGATCAAAAACCCGCCGCCATGAATGAAAAATCTCCATAGAAGCTTCCAGAGCAGCTTTAATCAAAGTGTTAAAGGTCCCGCGCACTGCTCCTAGCCTCAAACCACAAAGAACCCTGAACCCAAAAGCCGACAGCAAGGCGCACACCTTTTTACCGGGTTGCTTGGGAAGGTGGCACTTTCCTAGGGCACTGCGGTGCACCCAGGACAAGGGGCGAGATGTTCCGCCCCCTTGTGGAAAACAAGGTTGCAAA